AAGGTCCCTTCTGCTTTACATAAATATTTATGCGAGTTAATTTGTCGGCATATATGCCAAGCGGTGGACACAGAGACGGAGGTTGATGGGTGGCAGTAGGGGATGGAGAAGGGTCAGTTGGGTGCAATCAATCAGACATGAAACAATATTTACAATTTGAAGGCATTAATACGACTCCGGTTGACGTCAGCCTGTAGAGTTCAGTGTGCCACACAGTTGGGAAAATGTTAAGCTTAAAGGCAGAAAAGGGGAAAAGGGAGTGAGAACGGCGACGGGTAGTTTTCCTCGCCTGAATGCTTCGTCTGTCCGTGATACCCGCAGGTAAACAAACAAATAAGGACGAGGTCCTTCAATCTGCTATCGCTCGCCTGGTGCCACGCCCCCTTGACAAGCGGTGGCTGTCGTTGACAGCCAAACACATACATATAAGTAAAAAAAAAAAGAAAGAAAAACACAACCAGACGCACTGACAGACACGCAACCCGTCACTTACTTGTGGACACAAGTGTGCGTGCTCCTGCCATTTCGACTAAAAATAAACAATAGTCAAAAGCACAACAAATTACAAAAATTCCATATAAAAATAACAAGCAAAATAGAATGCGTAGGTCGAGCTTTAAATACTCTAAAAAATAATCTAAATTAAATACATTAAATAAAACTATGACAGACATTAAGAACTTTAAGTATTAAGACATCAAATAAATCACACATTAAGTCAAAATTCCTTTTGCATATGAAATGCCTCTCAAAGACCCTTTGAATTTTCCCCATAGAGTAGTTAAGCCCTTTGCCAGTGTTCCCTTACATACATATATATATTCACATAAAATTACATTAAATATTATTGCTTTACGGACGGTTTTCCATGGCATTCGCCACAGCTGACTGTGTATATAGGATTGCCGGCACAAAGGATCCAATGGTGCGTATAATTGACACATTTGATTGTTTAACTTGTATTAGCAAAGTCAGTAAAGCTCACGAACAGGACCTACTGGACTTGTGATAGGGCAAAAAAATAATACAGAGAGTGGAAGGAAAATGCTGAGAGCTACAGGAAGGCTTAAAGAAATCACTAGACATACATTTTGTATTAAGTACTTTAGTTCTGGTAAAGGAGTAACACATCACATGAGGCTGGGAAATGTAGTTTTAAAAAGGGTGTTTTCCATATTTTTTACAGCAAACTTCGAGGTAGATTCAATTAGTTAATGGATTGAAACCTTTGAAACTGCTAAAACAAAACAAAAGAGATTTTTATGACTCTATTTTTGTGCTCCTTCTTTTCTCCTTCTTTTTTTGGTAGTTCATCTACTCACGTCATGTGGTCTTGTGGTGATTATGCAAAGGACTTGGAAATCTGTGGAATTGTCTGGTTGATAGGGATTTGTTTTGCCAACCGACTTTGGTCTGGGCAGCTTAATCTCTTTCACTGACAGAAAATGCTCTCTGTTTGTAGACGAATGTCGAATATATATTTATAGAATATAGGCTGATTTTGGCATTTGTCAGATTCCTGTCAAGCTTAATGATTATTCATTTAATTGTGTACACATGCAACCGTCAGCGACTTAAATCTGACATTGTCAGCCTGTCCGGATCATTCAACAAGAAATTCGATTTCATAACACGGGCCAGCAAAAGTCTGATGGATTGCTTTGCAGATTCGATTGTCTGGCTGTGAGAGGGCTTCATCCTTTGAAATGTGTAAAATGGGACGTATAACATAAATTGTTACATATTGTTCGCGTAACTCATCCGAAAATACTCCAAAGAAAATTACGCAGGCGAGCTTTCCTTTCGCAATCTTCACCAAACAGTGTTGGCGGTTTGACTTTTTGGTTGATTTGACGGAGTTCATAAATCTATAAAGAGTTTTACTTTTTGTTGATCCTTGAAAACATGATCCTGAAATATTTAACTATTGTCCTTAAACTGCAGAAACTTTTTGCAACCAAATGGTCAAAAAACATATTTTAAGGAGGAAGCTGGTTATATTTTCTTGATAACTAAAAAGCTATAAAAACCTCTGAAAAAAAAACATATATAATTAAGTTAGATTTTATGATATTAACCATTTCTTTGTACAAAAATTTGACTATTTCCTGATTGATATATCCCATTTCTTAAACTATCTACTGCCAACACTACTCACTAACAAGCTGCAATCTACAGCCTGGCAATCATGTAATGTAGCGAGGCATCAACACAAACACAGGGGCTATGTGTGTGTGTGTGTGTGGGCGTGGTTCCTGCTGCTGATTGCACAAAGGATGCCCCTCAAGTCCTTGGTGACGTGTTGAGCGAAAGAATGAAACTAGCAGCCTGCGCCCGGCAGTTCAACGGAAGATCCACTGCACCTGAGCTGGCAACTTGCTCCCTGGAAGATAAATTATGGTGTGGGGTAACCTGACAATGGCTGAACAGTTTACTATCCTCCGAGTAAGGAAACCATAGCAAAACCAGCTGCACTAAATAAAGGAAATCCCTTTTGAAGGCCTCATCCTCCTTTACCTGGTGGATGAGTATTAGGGAGTTTTCCATCACAATTTTACAAATGCAATTCGCAGGATGGGACATTTGCTAAATGTTGTAATCTTAAGGAGTGAAAAGTAAGAAGAAGGTTCGTTCATACTCTAATAATATCTAAAAATGGAAACCATGGAGATTGGTAAAGGCAACCCCTTTTAATAAGTATACGCATCTGGCTGCTTAGTAATAATAATTCTATTAGAATTTTCGTTTTGCTAAAAATACAAAAAAAGAAAAGAAAAATCCACGACAGAACACTTGTTAGCAAAGGACCCAGGTAAACGAGTAGTACCATCTGCCTCACCTTATTTTTGCTACAATTTGAATCCCAATAAAACTGTATTGTCAGATATATATTGCCCAAATACCAAACGATGAAAGCCAATTAGTGTCACAAAAGATAACATTTTGGGAAAAGGCAAAGAAAGCCCTAAAACAACAATTGCTTCATCCTGGCGTATGAGTAATAAACTTTACTTCAATACAAATAAAAAAAAAACATTTCAATCTGAGAACTTTGTCCTTAAAGTAAAATAAAAGCTAACTATCAGAAAAAATTTTATTGCAATGAAGCAGAAGGAAACGAAAGCCACCTGGCGTATGAGTAATAGAAGTTCTTTGACTAAAAGTAATTCTATTTGACCATTTTCAATCCTCAAATTTCCGAATTTTTAGTTCTTTCCTAAGCCCTGCCAACCGATAAACGTAAATTAGTTTCATAAAAGCTAACAAGGCAAGCAAAATTCTTTTGTGCGGAACCTTTTGCCCAGCTTCGTCCTCACTTCATTGTTCATTTTGCCTCGTTTCACTCTGTCCTGTCTCTCATCTTGCTTCCCCTCCGCTCTCTCTTCTAATCCTAGCTTTGGCCATAGTCCAACCACAGAGGGCTCATCATCATCGTCATCATTTGAATTCCTCACCCGATTGTTGCATGCAGTGGCTGCAGTTGTTGTTTTTACTGCTGCTTGAAGTTGTTTTTGTTGTTGTTGCCAGGACACGTGCATCACCGAGCTTTGCAGTTGACATTCCGTTACGCACGTTGCCTCCTTTTGGTCCTTGTTGTTGTTGTTGTTGTTGCTGCGGCTGCTGCTGTCGTTGTCGTTGTCTGGGCAACATGCAATGCCAAAGTTTTTGTGATGCAAGTGCGTAGTTTGCTGACAACAAGGCTCGTTGAGGCTGCCCCACGGATGTGAGGAGCACTCAATTTGCAGGGGGTTTTAAAGGAGGAAAAGCTCACCCAAAGCTAAAAGGGGGTTTATGGCCTATGCTCGGAGTAACCATGCCAATGCAGTAAGCTACAAAAATAATGTTTGCTAACGAATTGTGGTTACCCTGGAAGGTATCTTGGGAGCCTTAGGTGATGTAAGAAACCAAATTATATTAATATGCATTTAAAGTTTTTAAATTTATGATTTTTAAATAGAAAGTAATAATTATTATCATTTTTGAATAAAAATCTTCTGTTTTACATTTCTAATTTGTAAATTTTAAAAATTATTTATAAAAACTATTTAAAACATGAACTTTATGGATATAAAATTGAAATAAAAATGAATTTATTATTTTAATGCAACAAAGAAATTTATTTATTAATAGTTTAATAACTGTTATAGTTTAAAAGAGGAAATCTTATTTCATTCTAAACAACCTTATTTAAGTAACAGATTTTCCACCCCCTACAAGGTTATAGTTGAATACTCGCAAAAAGCTCGACACGTCATACGCGGCAACAGTTGGGTTCTGCTGTTCTGTTTGCTGAGAATACTGCTGTCTCCCACTGCGAGAGCTAGCGGTGTAACGGGGGAGGCAGCTAGCTAGGAAGGGGGTGGGCTTTGGGGGGCTCGGCTCAGAGTCAGTGCAGTACTATAAGTGCAGGCAACCGTGGGCTGAGTGCCACACTTATGCTAACACAAGCACACAAACACCAACGCACACAATCTCAATATCGCACACACACACACACACTGTTACACATCGCCAGCTTTTGTATTGACGCACTCGAACGGGTAGCTTCAAGTTACCGGTTCGGTTTGCAGTGCCCGCTTCTACATAGGGAGAAAATATTACATATTTTAAAATCTATTTTTAAAGAAACGGAAAACTGGAATAAAACAAAATAAATTTGATGCCTTTTTTTCAAAACTTATGTTTAGTATTAATTAAATATAATTTCTGCATAAATGTTTTTGTGATTTCTTTTTTTAGTTTTGTACAATTTCACGATTTTTTGTAATGTTTTATTTTTAATTTAAACTCTTTTTCTTATTAATCCAGAATAATACCTTTTAAATTATAAGTTTCAAGCGATTTCTTTCAGTGCCCAGTTCCCACAGGTTTCTTTCAGTCTCTATCTTTGTCCCACTGCCACCAGCTGCCCGATTCGTTTTAGCGTTTAACATATATCGGGGAGCGTTGAGCTGCAGTCGAAGTAACGTTCTCAACGCTTGAATTTCACATTCACATTCTCATTCGCCAATTAGCAGCCGGCGCGAGCGCCTCGCGTGTGCGGAAAAAAGTAAAAACACTATCACGACTGGAAATTTTTCCCAGCTGGAAAACTGTTCTCTTCGAGAGTGATCAATATTGGGAGTGATCACCGGTTTTTGTACTTCTCAAGTTAAAGATGGCCACGCGAGGAGCGAATGTTATTTGGTTTCCGCCATGGATTACGCCTGCACGATAATCCCGCTCTGTTGGCTGCCCTTGCTGACAAGGATCAGGGTATAGCCTTGATTCCCATATTCATATTCGATGGAGAGAGTGCAGGTAAGCTCGGGAATTCCTATACATACTGCCATTTGGTTTATGTATTCTCTTGCGATAAATAATGAAGGGCTTTCCATCAAGTAATTAAAAGAAACCCTTGACCTTATAGTGTTTTGCAATATAGCTTTTCTGGACTTGATCTAAGAATAGGAAAATATTTGATTTTTAGTTTTATATTAATATTTTTGTAAGGAATAAAACTTTTCTATAAAATATTATCTATTCCCTGTCCCATTCCCTTAAATGCAATATATTTTAGAAGCCAAAATTTATAAATACTTATTAACCTAATCTTTATTTTTAATGTTATGTAATTCTTATAAAATGAAAATTCGTCCCATGTAAACAATGGATTAAAATTACAATTCACCTTCAAAATATATTTATTTTACAAACAAATTATTATAAAAGAAAAAAAGATTTTAAATCGATAAAAGTTACAAAAGAAAACAAAATATCTGGCAGCAATGGGTTAAAAGTAAAACTTTTAACTCGATTGCCATTACACGCTCATTCTACGTATGAGCTAATATCATTTTTTGCGACTTGCTTCGGTTATCAAATACTACCGCCCTCCGCGACCGCTGCGAATTCAGCGTTTTCGCTGCTCGTGGAAATGGTGGGTAGCGAAGGGGTTGTATTTGCGGAAAGGGGCAGGGAAAACCTAATGCACTTTTGCATGGTAGAACAAAACAAACGATGCGTTCTAATGCGATTTGCGGCTGGCGGTTTCCAGAACGCGCCGTTGAATCGCTGAGAGAGAGATATGGAAAGACAATGCAAAATGGTTAGAGTCATTGAGAACAAGCTAGAAACTAGTATAATGCCTTTTGTGCTCGCTTTTCAAAAAAGTCGGAGAGCGAAGGCGGTAAATATATATACCCATAACTTGACCGATAAGAGTCGTTTTTGTGGGGAAACGCGGGAAAACAATTATAGCAAGGGAAAATGGAAAACGAGCTAAACTCAACATTTTGTGTGCACAAAAGCAGCAAAGATAGCTGAAAAGGTGGCACTTAAACATGCAAACTTGTTCCGGATGCATAATTTGACCATGCTTATGAAAGTTAAGCTGCTTCGAAATTGTATGCTCATTGTGTGAATAAACATTTAAATTTGTGAAAATAATAATAATAAAACAGATTGGGAAAAATCTTAAGTAAAATAAACTTCGTAAATAGAAAATCTATTAGTGTACATCTTTGGGCAATATAAATATAAATTGAAATATCCTATTTAACATAATCGTACATATCCTTTAGCAGAAAACAGGGTTATGTCAACTATGACTTCTAAAAAATGTAAACAAATTTAGTAAAAGCCACACCTCTATTTTTCCCACAGGCACCAAATGCGTTGGTTACAACCGAATGCGCTTCCTGTTGGATTCCTTGCAGGACATCGATGATCAGATACAGGCAGCGACTGAAGGACGTGGTCGCCTCCACGTCTTCCAGGGTGAACCGGCTCACATCTTCCGGCGGTTGCATGAGCAAGTGCGTCTGCACAGGATATGTATAGAACAGGATTGCGAGCCAATTTGGAATGATCGCGATGAGACCATTCGTTCCTTATGCCGGGAGCTGAACATCGACTTGGTCGAGAAAGTATCACACACGTTGTGGGATCCGCGCACAGTTATTGACACCAACGGGGGCATACCACCGCTCACCTATCAGATGTTCCTGGTGAGTTATAAAACAGAGAAGAAATAAATATGTAAGGAAACGAAAAGTAAACAATTTTTCCTTCAGCACACAGTGCAAATTATTGGCTTGCCACCACGTCCGGCCGCCGATGCTCGGCTAGATGATGCCTCCTTCATAGAGTTGGCCCCCGAGTTACGCCGGAGTCTTGGTTACTTCGAAAAGTTGCCCACACCTGAGCACTTCAACGTATTTGGCGATAATATGGGCTTTCTGGCCAAGATTAACTGGCGTGGAGGTGAAACACAGGCCTTGGTTTTGCTAGAGGAGCGCCTTAAGGTGGAGCAACATGCCTTTGAGCGGGGTTTTTATCTGCCCAATCAAGCACTCCCAAATATTCTGGAAACACCGAAGTCTATGAGTGCCCATCTGCGGTTCGGTTGCCTTTCTGTACGACGCTTCTACTGGAGCGTCCATGATCTCTTCAAAAATGTCCAGCTGCGTGCCTGTGTCCGGGGCGTTCAGATGACTGGCGGAGCCCACATCACTGGTCAGCTGATCTGGCGGGAATACTTCTATACAATGTCGGTGAACAATCCTAACTACGATCGAATGGAGGGCAATGAGATCTGCCTGAGCATCCCTTGGGCTAAGCCAAACGAGGATCTGCTACAGCGCTGGCGCCTTGGTCAAACGGGATTCCCTCTCATAGATGGCGCCATGCGACAACTACTGGCCGAAGGATGGCTGCATCATACGCTGCGAAACACGGTGGCCACCTTCCTAACGCGCGGCGGCATGTGGCAGAGCTGGGAGCATGGGCTGCAGCACTTCTTAAAGTATCTGCTGGATGCAGATTGGTCGGTCTGCGCCGGCAACTGGATGTGGGTCTCTAGCTCGGCCTTTGAAAGGCTACTGGACTCATCCCTTGTCACCTGTCCGGTGGCTTTGGCTAAGCGACTTGACCCGGAAGGGGCTTACATCAAGCAATATGTCCCAGAGTTGATGAATGTGCCCAAGGAATTTGTGTACGTATAAAACATATTTCTATAGAGCTTCAGGGACTACATATCAGTTTTAATAATTTGATATTTTGATAATTACTCAGAATACTTTTGAGATATTAGTGTTTCTAATTATAATTTCATGTATTGCTTCCTTAAAGACAATTCCATGCTTGATTACAGCTTAAATGGCTTCATTTGAATAATATGGTGTTCAACACGTCGTATACGTAATTTTATACATATTTTCTTTCACTTTGTTTAATATTCGTGATTTGTTAAAAAAGTTAGAAATAATTTTTCCTATATATTTTATAAACATTTTATTCTTTATTTCCCAAACTTATTTATATATTTACCACGATAAACCCACAGTCACGAGCCCTGGCGAATGTCTCCCTGAGCAGCAGGAGAAATATGAGTGTCTAATTGGAGTCCACTATCCAGAGAGGATGATCGACCTCTCGTTGGCAGTTAAACGCAACATGCTGGCCATGAAGGCGCTTCCGGAACTCTCTGATCACTCCGCCCCCTCATTGCAGGCCATCCAACGAGGAGGAAGTGCGTCAGTTCTTCTGGCTGGCAGATGTGGCGATATAAATGTAACCCAAACAAACTTTTTATCAATTTACACAATAAAGGAACTATTACCAGTCGTATATTATATATATATCATTAATAATGCTTTATTTTCTTCAATTAAAATAATTACTACAATACAATTTGTATCTGTTTTATTTGGTTTCGTTTTTATTTTTAACAGCTTATAACGTGTTACTCATATATCAATTTTATTCAGCTTACTTTTAAAAATCGTTTATGTTGTATATATATATAATTATTATTATCATTTGTATTACGTTATCAAATTATACGTTAATTAACAGCATTAATTAAATAGTTTTTGCTTTTAGTTTTGTATTTTGTTTTTTTTTTTTGTTTTACGAGAAAAATTGAACGCGAATTTATTTCAAATATTGAAATTTAATTTTATGTCGATCTATTTGATCCGTACTTCGTTTTGTCTTTCGTTTAATTAGAGTTCCGTCTTGTTTCTTATAATTTGTCTAAATTGTTGTGTATATTTTATTTTAATGCCTAAATTTTGGTGTTCCTTCTAGATGTGTGCCATACAAATGAGATATTATTGGTTTTTTTTTTGGGATTGATGGGACCTAAAAGGAGTTATTGTTGAAGTTTGAGTCCCTCGACAGTTTGCTACAAATAAAATTGGAGAAAATATAAACTCGACCCAGGACCGAGCTTTTCCACTTATCCCCCCCCAGAAGGAAATAAGACTTTTTTATTAGACATTCCACATCCACATCTGAATTAGTTTGAAGTAAATTCGAGTAAACATTTAGAGCGTTGCTTGGCAAAAAGTTAGTTTTTGGTTGGTAAATGTAAATGCCAATTTCATACACATATGCATAGTATACGTTTTAGCTGAATAAATAAAATCGAACCAACCACAATTCAATCAACAAACGAACGAGAACTCACAGCAAATAACAATATTTGACGCAATTTATATACTTTATGGAATATACTCGTAGATCTCGTAACGCATTTCGCTTTTTTTTTTATCATTATTATATTTTTTAAAGTGCTCCCTCCCCCGAGGATTCAAGTGTCCTTCTCTGTATTGTATGTATGTACAAATGTATATAATATTGTGCTGCTGATGCATTTTATATAAGTGGGTGTGTGTCTGTGTGTACTAAGTGGATGTCTGTTGCTGTGTTCGGAACCGATTGGCTATAAAAATAAAAAGCTGCTTGTCCCCATTGCGTATGCAATGCATTTTAAATCCCCCTGATTTTCTCCCCCAAGCCCATTTACCAATCCCCCATATTACCATATGGTGCTAGCTGACTGCTTTAAGCCTATGAGGTTCGATTAAATTCATTTGCCTTTTAATTCTTCCTTTTAACTGGGCGAGTGTCTCGTGTGTGTTTTTGTTCTTAGATCATGAAAATATAGCTGCTTTACTAATGATTTCGTTAAAAGCTTTCAATATTTTTGGTTTCGGTAGAGGTTATAGCTTTAAAATGGACGTTTCATAGATAGATCATTATTTTTTTTTATATAGATTTCAAGAGTTATTTCTTCATTTTGAGCAGAATTAAGTGGCAGATAGTAAAAAAGTCGAGGCGATTTTGAGGATATGTGCCTACAGCAGAAGAGTACGGTGTATCTAAGGTGGTTTATTTTAAGGATTTCCTCTTATATTGGGCATTTCAGATATTGGCAGTTTCCTAGTGTTGTTTTCATTTTGTTTTGTGAGTTTTTAAGGAATTTTTATGAAGGGAATTACACATTACTTTGAAAATATCTTAAAATGTTAATATTCGCAAGGCAGATATACGATTGCACAGCTCGCAGCTAACTGCACTCGCAAGCGGTTCATAAATCATTCAAACTAACCCATGAAAGGCAACTGTTTCCTTAGTCAATCCAAGGCAACCAAACCCCAAACCCCCAAGGAGTCTCCTTCAACTCGTGGTTATCTTGGGATTGGATTGTTACATTGACTTTTTGAAATGCAAATCAAATGCAGACCACAGTTGCATAGCCAATGAATGCAAATAGACATGCCTGCCTAGGCTCCTATGTACATATACTCAGAAAATCACATATTCAAAATGCTCCGCTCCCCACCTCTCTTTGTGCCCTCCTCTGAATGATCGGTTTTCTGGGGTTATTCATACAGGTCGGATGTTTGCGTTTAACTTTTTACATTAACTGTCATTTGGTTTTATTTCACAATTTACAAAATGCAACTTAAACAATTGAATTTGACGTGATGCTGGCCATGCATGGAGTAGGAGTGCCGTCAACAGATGTCCTGTGTGTTTGCTTGGTTAGCTTCTGGTTTTACATTTTACATACAGTGCAGTGGAAGGAACTTAACTAACTTACTGCGGTTGCAACCGTTTCCCTTTCTCTTCGTTCTTTAATTTGTTGTTGCTGTCGTGTGTGTGTGTGTGTGTGGTGTGTGCTACACTAGAACTAAACTGCTGCTGCGGTTGCCACACACACTTGGTGTTTCTTTGTTGCTTAGTTTGCCTCTTTGTTTCACTTGACGTTGCTGCTGTGGCTCTTCTCACATTGCTTTAATTTCGTTTCATTTTGTTTGCTTGGTGTTAGTTTTTCTTTTTATAGTAAATTTATTTATGCAATTTTATCTCAATTTCATTAATCTGTTTTGTTTTGCTTTGCTTTGCCTTTTAGATCTTGTTTTTGCCTGGATGTTATTTTTCTTTTTTTTTTACATACACATATTTTGTTTACAATTTTCTACTAGACTTAATCGGCATCTGCGCGCATACCCCGCACCTCGCCCACCTGCCGCGCCTTGTCCAGCTCCTCCTTCGTCTGGTCCTCGATGGCGCGGATGTCCTCCATTGTTAGACCGTACCAGCGATCGGTTGAACAGAAAACTTGGCTGAAATGGTAAAAGAGAAAGAAGATTAACTTTTAGGTTTGTTTACATATGTACTAAACCGTCTCTAACAATAGTTTTCATTTGTATAAAGATTAAGTTGGGACTTTGTTACGGGAGATTGTTTCTTAATTATGGTTATGGTCTTATATTGTTTGACACTTCTGGGTATTTTATGCTATTCTAGACAGTATAATCTCTTAAAACCCATAAAATTGAGATTTATTTATAAACTTCTTAGTTATGTATTACTTCGAAATCTTTCCCAAAATTTCATGACAATTACCGATGGAAGTTTGTAAAGAGGCGGCGCTCCGATTTCTGTATGAAATTCTCTACTCTTGTTTGCAGGCCGAACCATTTGAACTCGCACGTGACTAGCTTGTAGCAGGTCATCACAGGATTCACGTTCTTTTTCCAATCGGGTCCCACCAGGGGACCGCGTCCCGTCTTCTTTGACTGGTAGCTGGAAAGCATAATCAAAACGTAAATTACAAAATCTTAATTGGAATTTAAAATATTATTTTCTTACGTGGTTGGATCCTCATCGGGTTTGTAGTCCGCAGGCAGGACCGGATCATTGGCAATGTCGATGTGCACCACCTCTCGCACTTTCAGCTTGTCCGGCGTCAGCTCGTGAACCTGCAATATGGAAAAACCAGGGCAAACTCTATCTTAGAACTACTCAATTGATAAGAAGAAGTGGAAAACATGAAAAGCATTGATTACATAACTACATACATGCACATGGATCGATGGCGAATCATAACTACAAAGCTGAACAGAGCAGACAGCAAAATAAAATACAAATCAAACGAAACTCACGTTCTCCGTAGTGCCAATGTCATTTTCTATATGTTGCGAGTAAATGTCTACTTTAAAGTTTTTATCCATATAACCAGGATTCTTAACCCAACAAAACCAAACGATTACGAAAATCAAAAATCAAAAACCAAAAACAAGCCAAACGAAAGGGTAATGGTATTTCGATCAAATATGGTTAGTCACAGTTTAGTTAGTGAGTATTCACAATGAAATGCATATGATGAGAGATGAAGTGATGTTGTGGAAAGAAAAGAAGAAAACACAAATTAGTTAGATCATGCTGTGGATCCTTGACTTACATTTTCTGAATCGCCCGCATCGCCGACGTGCAGAGTGTCGATGATTATTTTGAAAGCATCTTTCATAAATTTGGGATTCTAGAAATGCAATATAATCAAAATAATCAGATTGGTACTAGCAAAAACCCCTTTGACGTAACCAAGTTAATTTTATTTGTATACTCCATAAATGGTATAATACTTTGTTTCCCCCATTTACCGTTATAATCGTTCGACAATAGGGATAGGCATTCCATGCCTCTTCATGGATCTCTAATGAGCCCTTGGGTGCCAATAGTCTTATGTAGGCTGGAACTTTTGATTGCAGATGATAGATCTTATATGTATATTGACCGGAATTGTATTTGCCACCTGCAGGTTGATTGGGAAAATGTGCAGTTAAACCCAGGAGTTATTAATTATGTAACGTTAATGGCTTACCCAGCAGGGGGAAGTCTTCGAAGGGTTCGTTCTTTAACACCTCGATTCCCTCGCCGCCTCCCGTGTTCTCCTTTGACGCCTCGGCCACCGAGAATAATTGTGCAACTTGATACTGAAATGGTAGAATGTTTATATTCGGGCCTTTTTACACCAGGTAACTCCCTCTTCTTACCTCTTCCACAGTCAATGGCAAAGTCACACGGCTGCAACGGGAAGAAGAAAAAACAATGACTGTGTCAGCGAATGTATGCATAAAGGCTACACGATTTTAATTAAATTTAATATAACAGTTTTAATTAAATACCAGGCCTGTTTATAAAAAGCCCTTGATACCCTTAACTCCCCCATTGAGTACATGGGGTATATTGGACTGAGGTATATACAAAAATAATTAACAATAACCAGAGAAAATTCAATTAACAACCTGTTTTTATTTCACTTTAAAGGGGCTCTACAGTCAGATTGCGAAGGTACAACGATAAACCAATGTTTTATGTGCAAACAAAAAAAGGGGAGAAATCCATCAGAAACAATAAATGTCAGTTACTTCATAGAAATAGTTTATGGGTTGACTGCATTCAATTTAATTTACCAGCAAAATTTATTCAATCTCAATTGGATTACTGCGCTGTCAATACGATAAATGAATAAATGAATCACTTTGATAACTGCAAATTAACATTCAGGAATTGAGGCTTTCAATTTGAAAGATAACTTAATATGGCCTAATTGTGGTATCCTCTTTAGTTACCTCAAATTTCCCTAATTACAAGCACTCTATGCTAATTTTACATGCTCTGTGCAAAGTACTTAAGCCTTAAAGTATGCAACTTAAATCAACTATTTCAAAGGCCACTTTTGCAGGAATGGCCAAACAATCGAAGTCAATTGATACTTGTTAAGATAAGATTGAGCGTAGTAGTGGTCTTATTTCAACAGAAATCATATCAGTTAATTTCGAGGACCACTTCAGCTAAGTCTGACGGTGAAAGTTACTTCAACAGCTCAATTTAAATTATACATTTTTTTAATTAAAAGCTTACATAAGTAAGCGTCACATTGGCATTACAAAAATAGCCTAACAAAAATGCTGGCAGCATAAAAGTTTCTCATTTTATTTGCATGCACATGAGTTTGGACTCCGCCAGGACCCCAAACCCAAACCACCCACTTCCGGACCACATACTCATCCTCTAATTACCAAAAAAGAAAAAAAATATGAAAGGTCGCCAGGCAACGAAAGAGTTGAGGGGCAAAAAGTGGAAGGCTGCAGGAAATGTTCTGGGACCTCCATATAATTATGCCAGCCTTGAAACTTGCTCGCATCGCTTGACTTTTGTTGCGGTTTTGGAGGCGACAATTTAATTGCAAAAATTTTTAAAGTCTCTGGTAGATAATTATATCAACGAAGGAATGCTCTTTAGGAAGATAGTAAAAAACTAATTTTAGACATACTCGTATTTAATATTTAAAAAAAAAATATGTTTACAAATTTTACAATTTTAAGCAATTCCAGTTTTACTTTTAATAACTTGAAAAAGGGCTAACAGGATTTCCAAATCATTAAAGTTAAAATCATTTAACAAGGTTCACCCTCATTTAAAAAACTTAAAGTTTAAATTCCTTACTTTTAACATCGAAACACCAAAACTGCGATGACTAATAAAAAATGTGCATTAAAATGCTAGGTATTTGCCCTTGTGCTCTGGAAATTTAACATGCTTATTTTTTTGAAGGTAAAATTTAGCTACAAACTGTAATCCAAGGAAAGTCAACAGTCAACGGCTTGGCAAATGAAATATTTCCCGGCGAATAAAGGCTAAATTGCTCCCCCGGTGCGCTGGGAAGCCTTGGCATGCATTCGTAAGGTGCGAACTGGAGCTTCTTGGCCATAAAGAACCTGAACCTCGTGCTGGCCCAGCTTTATGGCCTGTCATCCGTTCTCGCCTCCCCACATAATATAATGCCAACAAACAAAACACACAAATGCCAAACAATGCGACACAAGAAAACACGACATCACTCGAGAACAATCAAAGTGACGGGAGAAAGTTAGTGGTGGGAGATGGGAGGTTAAGGAGGAAAATTTGGTTCTTTGTTTACCGGGTGTCTTGTAGTTGCAATTAACCTTTTGGCCCACTGTTGACACTCGTAATGATGTGTTTCCTAATTGCCAAGCAACTAAAGCAACTGGTAGGCGTGGTCCCAGGTCCCAAGACCATGACTTTAATTCTGCGTACTCAAAAGTTGGCAAACTACGCGCCGCCCCTGAAAAGGTTAAAGTTCACAGAGGCGGAGGAGGATAATGCCCCTACCATGTTCAACTTTTACACGAGAGTTCATCTGGGGGATTTCCCTCCAAACAAGATGAATGATTTGGAAATTGTGTGCGTGAGCGCAGGAGGGCAGAGGAGAAACAAAAAGTTAGAACTATAAAGGGACTTAGGGCAAAGGTAAAACACAGTGTTGCGGTGTTTAATTGTTAATGAAGTTATTTGGAACTTTACTAAATCATTGCATAATCAAAATGATGGCTCTTAGAGTTCAAGTTCAACAGAGTGTTATTAAGACTTCCGCTTAGTTTAATAAATTAAACATTCATTTAGCAGTGAGGTTAAAAGTTAAACTGTTAAGATTTGGAACTTAGAAAGTCGAATTAAATCTTTTCAAGAGCTTAAACTATAGCAGATAGCTCTGATTTCAAACATGATTAAAGGGGTAACAATCTAACTTCATTGCGAGTTCAACGTTGTTATCTATCAATTATACAAAGAATAGAACTTTTCTTTTCAACAAATTTTATCAGCAACATTTGTCGTTTAATAACATCAGATTGTATAACTTTGGCGTAAATAAATAGGCCATAAAAACTTATTGCTTGGCCAAACTTTTTTCTTTAAGAACCAACAACAAGGCATATTATTTCGAGGCAATGCTAACTAAACTCTTAAAATCTAAAAACCTCAAAAGATGGAAAAAATTTAGAAGACGGCGGAACTGAAAGCAGAACGTGTTTGTGTGACGAAAGTTGTCTGTCCCAATAAGTTAAGTGGAAATGAGTAAATAAATTTCCATGAAATAGCCAAAACAACATCTAACTGGGTCCAATGTCCCAGCCAAAAGCGTAAGATCAAACGATATGGTTGTGTTTTCTGTCAGGGTTTTGCTATGAATCAGACACCATAATCACAATCAGAGCAATGAAGAAATTATGCAAAAATATACAAAAATAAAGACAAAAACAAAAAGATAAAAGAAATCGCCACACATGAGCGGAGAGGTTGAGAGTGGGTGGGTGGAGAGGTTATTCAGAGAGTCACGGAAAACAAAAGCCAGAAAATATTGAAGAACTCTTAATGAGACCAAAGTTACCCAAAAGAAACACTCGGGGGACCCCTCCGCATTCAACCCTCTTTTGTGGCCATCAAACAAAAGAAAATTGTTTGCTCTTGTTGGCATAATTGAAAATGGAAAGTGATTGTTTGGGGCACACTGTGTGTCCGCATCGGTAAGTGGGCGAGTGTGTGTGTCTGTGGGCCAGTATGTGGGTAAAGCTCTCGGCCAAGGCTCTTTGGGCTGCCCATTATTGAGGGCCACCCACTGACCACTGACCATTGCCGCAATTGAAGGCCGAAGTCAAGTAATAATTGATTTACCCGCAATAAAGATGTCACACAGAGAGATTGCCCAGTGGACTAAATGAATGCCAAAGGAACGAGCAAGCCAGCTTGATATTGAAGCTTTTGATTTAAGTCTCTGACTACCTAGTTTACCAATCAATTATACCTTAAAATACCTTCAAAAATTTTGAAATATTTCGTGACTTGAAGAGAACTTTGCTTGAAAAATAATTTATCTTAATTTAAATATATTCAAATTTTTTACATTTCAGAAAATTTTTTATTTGTGAAAAACAAATAACTTAAAACTTTTTCATTGTTATATTGGACTGTAATGTCAAATCTACAAATTTACTTAAATACATCAACCACTTTTATAAAAACAAAGCTGTTTAATCATTAGGCTGTCAAAGTATTTGTAAATATCTAATGACCTAACAAATTCCACCATTAAACTTGACATTCAACCATGATATCTGTAATTTTATTTATGAAGCAGAGCCTAACATTAGCTACAAACAACCAATGTAGATAAATTATATTTGTTGTGAAATTAAAATGTTGCAATGATCCATTTAAAATCTCTTTTTTATACATTAAGGCCACTTTTTTTGTGGGGAAAACCGACAATGAGAATGTAGCAAACTCCTCCACTTATGCTGGCGCTTAACAACAGTCACACTCAATTGGCAACCATTTGACGAAACAACTGAAACTTCACACACACTCGAAATGTGTAATGAGTACAGTGCCGTTTCGAAGTAAAACTACAGACACATTCCGAAAAAACCGAACGCCGTGTGTTATCTTATCGTAGTACATAAAAAACCACAACACAAACACAAATGGCGGAACTAAATTGGAGCTCGTGCCATTTTCAAATTGATTGCGGGATGGATAGACTAGAGGGGATAGGAGAGTGAAGAACAGAGCTGTATCAGAGGGATACATACATATAGATGTGGTTAATGTACAAAGTGAGCCAATCAGTTTTTGGGGCAGTAAAAGTCACGCTACAGCTGGTTTATGACGAGCACCATCGAGGAGCGACATTGAAAACAACAAGCTTTTGCTTTCGGAGATCAAAGGTTGCGAAGGTTTAAAACTGAAAGACTTGAGTTATTATAGAGAAAAGTGCAGTTTTTTATATGGAGATAAATTAATATGTTTTAAGGTTAGCCGTAGGTTAGATATAGAAATTATTCATGTTTTCTATAAAAACAAAGACTATATATAGATATTTATTTATTTTTTAAAGAAATTTCGCCTTACAATAAAAGTTATTAAGGGGTCGAATTTGTTATACATTTTGTCTATTATCTAAGATTAATTAGTAGTAGTAGCAGCATAGTAGTGAAATTTAAGTTGTCTTTCCCTTAATTGAATTCGGCTATGACCTATTAAAAACACAATCTCTTGAGGTTTTCAATTTAAACGCTTAGATATTCTCAAAGTTAATAGCTTGATTGCTATCAGACAGCTTAAACCGCAATGATGTTTGTCCACAATCAAATGTTATTCTAAATCTAAATCACTGGCCGAAATCACAATGTCAATAAATAAAGTGCAGCACTTAAAGCATTATTGTATACAATAAAACGGAATATCAGATGAAACATGCAAAGTGCAGCCTATCACAATTTGCTTTTGATTCATTTGGCCACTTTTGCCTGGCCCACACCCCTCTCGGCCATTTAAAATTGTTTATCAACCTGCAGCAACCTGCTCCGGCACGCGTTGGCTTTATTTCCACCTTTATTTTCCATTTAATGATGGTGCTGAAATTTTCATTGCCAAATGGTTTACACTCCAACAGCCGGCAGAAAAAGCCAAAAAAGAAAAAAAATGTGAAAATCTGGCAGGGAAAAAACATTTTGAAATGCAAATACTAAAGGCTCCGTGTGGGGATTACGACATCGAGAAAAATTAAACATTAATGCCTCACATAAAGATCGCCTGACAACTTATAGGTGTTTTAATACCTGGAATTCCTCTAAAGTCCAAAATGTACAAAAAGGTTTATTGGGCAGTTAAATTCAGTGACCTTAAATGCTTAATTTTTATGAAAGAATTTTTAACCTTGACAGACATTTTAGACATTGTTTGGAAATTTACATTATATTAAAATAATAAACTATTTTGATATAAATGAGATGGTTTTCGACCCTTTTTCTTGCAAAACCTGAATTTTATTATTAAACAAAAGTAAACATACATTCCTATAAGTGTTAAAACTTTAAATCAACAAACTGTTTCAAAATTAAATGAGAATTAAAAGCTTTACAAAGGGTAAATACTTATCAATCAATTATCAGTAATAGACTCTCTTTATAATCAATCGAAGTTCAATTATCAGATTGATGTGAAAGATTGTATAAGACAGAGAGAGAGAGAGAAATCAAACACCAAACAAAATGATAAGAACTGTCTGTTTGAGTTTCCATTTCAATCTCATATGCAATTTGTTCTGATTTTCGTTGCTTTTCTGTCAGCTGTCAAAGTCAAAAGCAATTATAAGCCGAACCATTTGATTTCAGACTTTTGGCAATTTCCGTTAATAAATTAAAAGTATCATTGCCAAAATGGGGAATCAGATGGAGGAAGAACGTGAGCCAATTGCAAATGGGAAAAATAGCAACTTGGTGTTTCTTCTTCTTTTTTTTCGGAATAGACAAGGACTTAAGTTGCAGTGAGTCAAGATAATTGGGGTTTACGCAACGACCTTATCGCACTTAACAACTTGTTTGATTAAAATCCAAAAAGAGAGTTATGGAAAAAAGAGAGGCGCAAAAGAGAATGACTCACTACAAAAAAAATCGACAACGTGGCGTCGTTGAACGACTGAAAAGCATTATCTTTTTGTTTTATTTCTTACATGCATATATTTATATGTATCGATGAGTCAAACGGAGTTTCCAAAACTAATTGGCAATGGCATTTCTAATAAGAATTAAGATGGAAACGTTGCTTCAAATCCAACTTGAAACTCATTACGTCATTGCCACAGCTGCAAAATACCTGTTCTAGAGCGGGATGGCTAAAGAGGGGGCATGGAGAAAGGGGGCGGCAAGGGGGGCTGATAAGAAAAACATTCTTTTGTTGTTGCGGAAAATGCCCGCAAACTTAAATACAACAAAAACAAGAGTGAGAGAGAGAAGCGACACGCGACATGAAGAGAGAGAGAGAGAGAGAGAGAGTAAGAGAGAGCAAATGTCAAGAGAGTGTACAATCGATTTGTCACAAATTATTTTGCGGCTCGTACAGCTTTTTAATAATTTTAACATAAAATAAACGTTGGTTGAAGACTGATTTATGCCATTTCATACTCACAATTCTTTGATCTGCATCTTTGCCAATTATTATCCGGTATTTTCCTGCTTGATTCGCTGCGAGAGAGTACAAAATACAAAATTAGATTTAATGCGATTTTGCTGGACTATTTTGTTAGTAACATATGTACATACATATATGTATGTAAATCTATTCTTTCCAAATGTTTAATGCACTTGCACTCGACGCTTAACCTTCGCACACGCACTTTCTAAATTTAATTTATATATGTGCGAAAAAAACAACCAGAGTGCCTTGTTTCATTGCCAAAAAGACTGCACTTCGCACTATTTGTTTATGTTTGCGATTTTGTTTGGCCAAATTAGCGGCGTTTAGTTTGCCAACTTTTAAATCGAATGCTTTTTTTCTTTCTCCAATTTGTCGGCTAAAAACACGAGTCATACGCACACACACAATTACACACAAACTTGCGGGCGGATTGGCAACCGCAATTTATGCGTTTTGCCGTTGATTTATTACTCAAAAGATGACGTACAAGTTGAGAATGCCTTTTGCCTCGTGTCAGGATCGTTTACTTCGCGGCAGTAATAAATTAGTAATGAGTTTTTGTTATTAAGTTACTGCGTGTCGTCGGAGCGGAGCAAAAAGTTCGATGTTCATGCAAAACACTTCGATTCCGATAGGCGTCGTATCGATTTTGACGAGTACTTATCACACGGGCGAACGATAACACTTGGTATGTGGCGCTATTCGTTGTGGTCTATCGATAGCAGCTGTGATGAATTCCCAGGGATGGGCCATTTCCAAAGTGTATTAGGGCACCTCCGAATAAAATACCAGTTGATTTTAATTTAGTTTTAAACGATATCTAATAAAATGAAATTTCTTGTATGAAGAATAGTCTATAACAAAATTGATTTTCATTTAAAACATAATTTATAAATTGGTAACAAAGATTATTAAAAAAAAGATAAAAACCCTTAAAAAGGTTTTTACATTATTTTTATAAATTGTTTATTAATTGCATTTAAAATATATAATCAATTTTGGGTAATATGAAATAACTTTTAAATATTAAGACACTTAATTAATTTTGGGAGGTCTGTGTAACTGGAAAGACAAATGTAAATAAACTAAACCAATTCGATTTAGCTAGGTGCCTCGGTATTTGGTTGATTACCAAGACCCTCAATCGTGTCATCCTCCTTGGGGGGAGCGGGCGGCATGTTCAAACCGCCAACACGGTTTTGAAATTGTTCCGGTTCCGGTTCCGATTCCGGTTCCGGTCCGGACTCGTCAGAATTTTCTCCTTCAGAAGGGGGTTTGATCGGGAGGCTTATCAACATCTTGAAAAACTGTTTCGATGTGCATATTCATTGAGAACTTAATTTGTCCCTTTCCTTGGATTTTGTGATCGATGGGAATATTGCGGGCCCATATTTTGCACTCGAAGAAGACCTCAACATTTGAGGGCATGTTTTCAAACTGAACGGCCACTACACGCTGCACACCCATCATCTTCTCGGAAGCCTCAAAGTAGGGTCCCGGGTAAAAGACGAATTCGAGTCTGGGTCCTTGGAGCACCTTGCACGTGATCCAGATCTTTGGGCTACCGCCATACCTGTTCACAATCTCGTCGAGACTCGAGGGCGCTTCCTTAGGGAGGTCGTCTGCAGTGTCGTAGGTTTCTGGCTGAAAGCCAATAACCTTGTTCAGCTTAATAAATACGGACGGCTTCCCCACACCATAGCCCCACATCGTGTCGGGATTGGCATCGTTAAAAAATTCAATGGCGTTGTCTTTTAGTTTGATTAGGAAATCGTCAATTGCGTCCGCGATCGGGTAAACCTCGCTTAGAATTTGCGTGTGGAAGGAGATAGTGGAAGTGTTGTACGGCATCATCGATATCCCCGGCGGACCCTTCAACCAACGTGGGGTTTCAGGATCGATAATCGCCAGCATGAAGAGTGTGACCCAAAAGGAACACACTACGACGATCAGGGAATAAAGGGTAGTATAGAAGGCCGTAATCCGGAACCATCCCCAGGCAGTTCGTCCAAACAACTTGTGCTCGTCTATGTCGAATACCCTCTTCGACCAAGGAAGGTCCCTCTTCCGCAGAGTTTCCTTCTCCCTACGAAACTGCTTGACCAGCTTGTAGTCCCCTGCGGGCATCATCACATCTTCCGGCATCCTGGTGATTGTTCCGGCTTAGATTTCAATAATATTATTGACCGATTTGAAAAATACACACATCCATATGAACTTTCCGGTCACTATGAAATGTAAAGCAGAGAATGTTGAAAAAACTAAAAATGTTTTGGTTTTTTAGATAGATACATTTCTACCTCAAGAGCAAAAATTAAACATTAACATAAATAATATATATAATATATATTAACCACTCCTTTATATTAATTTTTGTATTAAAATATTTAAATATAATTTATATATTAAAATATATATTTAGATTGATTATTATAAAAATTCTTATATACTAGTAGATTGAAACATAAATTAAAAAAAATTAACGTATAGTATTCAATCTAAAGATCAAGACTTAAAGCCAAACATCCAATCAGTTTTCGTACCACTCATCCAGTAATAATGGAGTCGTTGGGTGGATAGGTTCCGTGTTGTGCAATAGGAACCTGGCGGTTCCCATATGGAAGGGTATATTCTTGGCCCACACTTGGCACCGGACTAAAACGTCCCGATTGGGTGGTATATTCTTGAACTGAACACCAATGATACGCCTGACGCTAGGGTCCTCGGTGTAAGTACCACCATCGTTATCTGAGGAATCGTTGAGAAAAATATTCATATTTGTAAAAAGCGCTTCGGCGTCGAAGAAGCGCTCAGGCACATAGTCGATCATAACATCCAAATCATCCTCCTTCTTCACCTGGCAGGCAACCCAGATGCGGTTTAGACGCTCCTCCATGCCAAGATCCGACACGTAATTATAGAGTTCATCCGGAGCGATATCGGGCAAGGAAATGGCATCGTTATACGTGATTGCCTCGAAGCCGAGTGCTTGGGTGAGCTTCATCAGAATGCAGGGCTTGCCAGAGGCATAGCCCCAACTATCGTCAAGATTGCAACCCATCATGCGTTTTGGACCTTCAATACCGTATCCTTCCACCATATCCGACAACTGCCGCCGTATTGCTCCTAGTTGCTTTTCGTTTTCACTGCACCAAACGATTTGCTTTTGGTCCCCTACAGACCGCCCGGGCATTGTGCTAAGTCCGGGAAACTTCCTGCACCCCGGTATATCCGGCGGTATACTGTATGTAATTAATATCGAGGCCATTCCGGCCGTGAAAGCTGCCAGTACCACAGAGAAGGCCATGAAGTATAACACTAGCTTGGCAATACGGATGGGTGTCATCTCGGGAACCGGGTTGCTGGTGCGAATCGATCGCCTGAAGAGGTATTCCGCCACCCGCCGATCACGCCGGCGGCGAAGGCGTCCAACCTCGTACGGTCCTGAGTATATAATCGCTTCATTCGGCATGTTCAATTATAAATGTTTCGTTTTATGAAGTATTTAAAAAAGCTTTCTTTGGAAAATGCGTATTTCATTTAATTTTTAAAGAACAAAAAAAAGTAAAATATTAAAAAAGTATATTCATTTAAATTATAAGCTTATTAATCGTTATCGATAGATTTCAAATAGTCTTAGGCAGCCCTTGATTTATTAGCGTTGCTAGGTATTTTAAAGGACGGGCACACCATTCATTAAACTTATCGATAATATTTATATTCGATTAAATTTTTTATGTTTATTAATGAAATAACAAAAATGAACGAGAATGTGATTGCTGCACCGTTAAGTAGGATTCCAGGCACCAGCCAGCTAAGGGAACAGCACAGCAAGGACCTTAAGACCCTCACCTATGTGCAGCTGTTGGAGATCAGGGACAGACAGTCCCATATATTATCGTTTAAGTAAGTTTCGAATACAACCTGTAGAGGTCCCACTAATTTTTCCAGTTTCCCGCTTTAGAAAGCGTCTTTTGCAGTTGCCGGACAAAGGAAAACGCCTCCAACAGTCCTACGACAAACTTCTAGACGAGATTAGGAGACGTGATGAAGTGGAGGAGGCAACTCGACTGCTGAGCGGTCTCAACATTGCGGCAAAAGGAAAGATTGCTTTAAATAATCTAGAGTGGAATGGGAAGACGACAGACGAGGGTGCTCATGTGGACGATATCCTGGACAGTGATGATGAGGTGGAGATGGATCCCTTGAAGATTATAGCCAAAGGAACAATGCACGAGAAGAAGGTTAAGGTGATTCCTCCGCCGGCTAGACTCATTACCGCAGAGGATTTGGCGGATATCGAGGAGTTTAAGAAACCCGCTTACTCTCCAGACTCCGCTTTGGCAGGACAGAGTAATACCAGTTCCCTGCCTGCCGAGATTATAGAGATAGACGCCAGTCAAGTGGCAGCCAAGCTAACCAAGGAGCAGCTGCCTGATCAGCATGCTCTCTACCTCATCGATAAGACGGAAACAAATCTTAATACCCCTTCTAGGGAGAAGTTTATGCCATTTCGCACCACAAAGTCTAATGTCCACGATCCCGACAAGGAGCGTGTTCGCAAAAAGGGGAAGCACTGGGAGATAACGGCAGCCACTCCGCCACTCATCCTGCACAAAGAGGTTCAGTTGGTGCCATTGGCGGAATCTGCCACTCTTCAAATGGATTACATGCAACGTATTAAGGTGATACCCATAGTTATTACATTGAGAATTCGCCCATGAATAATGTTTATTTACAGGAGGTTCGTATCCGGCAGGCTGAACAGCGGCTGGCCAGGCAAAAGGAGTCCAGACTGGCAGCAGGATTGAGCCTTCCCGAGGAATCCATCCTGAAAACTAAGGAATCTTTCCAAAACTATCGTGATCCGCAAGCCAATTTTCTCATCGAGGGCAGACAAAAAGCCAGTGAATCAAATGAAGTTCATGATCCTACAATTCAGGACAGAGGGGCAGCCACAAGTGGGATTCACTACACAGTTTTTGAATAAGAGATGGCGATAAAATCCCATTCCTCCTATTCGTTTTCCAAGAAACATTGTGAACTATTTATTTTCGTAGGCAACAATTAATAATTAAGACTGCATATATATAACTCACTATGTGTGTGATATTTAGATTGAGTAAAACTGCGTTGCGGTGGAGGCCTGTAACTCAATTTGGCCCATCTTAAATTGCAGTCGCTGTAGCCACTTGAGAAGAGCCTCCGACTTAAAGGCCTGCTGCTCCTCGTAGTCCGGTGCATAGTCCCTCACGTTTTGCAACCGGACGTGCAAAGTGTCCGAGAGTTGAGTCTGCGATGATAAAACGGGGCTCCACATGGGCAGCAACTTTCCTAGAACTGTTGAATTCGTGTCCTTCAGAGCCTCCAGAAGGCTAAGGAAGTGCAGATTGACCATCTCAGAAAGCTTGGAGTTGGCACTCTGCGTCTGAAAATCTAAGGGAGTCTGCGGCTGATCCTTGTTAACTGTCGGCTTGGCGTGGGACACTAATTGTAGGATGCAGGGCGTAACCTTAGCCCAGAACTCAAAAAGCACACCCAACGTGCTCCCTTCCGCATTGCTGTTTGTGTTGTGGGCCATCTGCTCCAGATACACTGTCCACAACTGGCAGAGAGTGAATGCATGGAAGAGCGAGGACATGTGCAGAACCGAGGTCTTGGACTGCTCCGCGAATCCAGCAAAGATCACTTGAATGTGATCGGCAATATGACAGGAGGCTTCCTGTGGCACAGGCTGTGAGTATGTCACTCCCTGATGCTGGTAGTGAACACTGGCTGTGGGACCCGTTCCTTGTCCTGGCTGCGGCGGCAGGGGTGTTGGTATGCTGTGTGTTTCCTGTCGGCGCTGCATTAGGGCCATGTGAGTAAGGGAGCCAAGTAGCAACCAAGACAACAGGCGCATGTGACCCACGCACTCTGTGAACTCCTTGGGTCTAGGTAGAAATATAAAGTTATTTAAGGTTTCGTTTTCTATTTTTTTGTACTCACCCTTGCTGAAGTGAGGATGGAGCGTTGTTCAACCAAGGCAGATACCGGGAAACAGCCTTGTTGTCCCTTGAATTGCCACGCGACATCTCCAGGGCTAGATATTGTGCAACCGCGCCTTTGAGAACTCCGCCCAAGGTGTCTTCGCCCAGACCATTACTCGTTTGGCCATTCTTAAAGTTCTAGAAAAACATAAGATCTATTGCATGTTGCATTGCCAATTTCATGGAACTTCATACGCTTCCTACCTTAATCTTGCTGAGCGTATGGAAATCAGCCAGAAAGTCAATAACATCATTTATATATTGTCTCAAACAATCGGCAGAATTGGTGGTCATCATTGGTGCCGCATCGGGCAAGCCAGGGGCAGCTCCTGGAGGCAGAGTTCCACCAGCATCGAGCAGCACAAAACCAATAATCGTGAGTAGATTGTGGTCAGGAATATTAGACTTGAACTTTAGGGCCTGGACGAACTCAAAGATCATCTGGCGACACAGAAGGTTCTTATCCCGATCCTTGCTAAAAGAGCGAATATTCAGAGTACAAAGTTCGTAGAGCGTTTGATATTCCAGATTTGTGTGTTGGACACAGTAGGCCATGATCTTGGAGTATGGATCAAGAAGTGTCTTTGGTACACAGTTGAGCCGAAGGGTGGCCGCTATGATGTCCAGCATGTACTCCGCATTGGTTAGATTGGGCATAATGACGATCACTTGGCGAAGGAGCGACTCCATGGCCTGCATTGCCTGTGACCAGACGGCCAAACCGACTCCAGCCTCCGCTGGGACGCATTGGAGATTCAAGTACTCGGCCATATTTCGGAAGATTACAGGCAGCTGATCGACGGGCAACGCCTTTTTGGAGGTCAGTGACTCGCAGACCATGTAGATCGGACTGGTGGCATTTAGATCCTGGAAATCCTGCAAAGCCTTGGCAATGCTACGGAAGTGATTGTGACGGATTTTCACTGGGTAGATACAAAGGGATATGATTAGTATAAAAATTTTCCTTTAGGCCACAATCTTTACATACTTTTCATTTGGGTTTGGAACACCTGCAGGAATATTCCATTAGGAGCCAATTGGTGGAGTACGCAGCGGAAAAACTGTAGGGCCACCGCCTGGGCGCTGCTGGCCAAAGGTGGACCATTCTCGCCTTGCCAGGCATGGGTGCTGCTCAAGCAGATACTGAAATGGAGTAAAATGTAGCCTAAGAGATCAATATAGATTAAAGAACGACTAACCGTGATGTCATGGTAAGGATCTCGGGCAGGAACGGTGCTGCCATGGCTGGTTCCCGATGGATAAAGGTTCCTAAGATCACGATGAAGATTCCAATCTCCTCATCAGTATACTCCTCAATGTGGGCACCGCAGTCGGAGCAACGATCAACGATGGTGTAATCTCCCACACGACGTGAGCTCTGGAGGTTAGCAGACTTAGCATAGTATATGTAGATCCAACTCATATATACATAGATTATGAAAACTTACCCCACGTGGAGCATGAGCAGTTGAATGATTTCCATGGCCATTGGAAGCCTCGGCTCCGACGTCGTCATCATCATCGGGTTCGGGATCCACGGGTTGGAAAGGTGGTGGTGGCCACGAGCCCGCAAAGCGTGATCGAATATCGGGAATAGCATTGCTGTCCACATTAAATGGAGCCAATTTCTGGCGAGGACGCTTGATGCTGTTGGTGGTGGTAAGTCCACCGCCTCCAGAGGCTCCAGCAGTTTGCTTAAGGTCCTGCTGAACATTCTTCAGGATAGAAGTGTGTAGATCGGCCGAAGTTTGTGATGGAAGTTGGGCATTAGGATTTGGGGGTGATTCCAATGCCACCTGCTTTATAAGCCGACGGGGTGAGTTTGTCCGGCTGCTTGGAGTCACATCGTCCTTGGTGCTTTCAGATACATCCAAGCTGTCCTGCTTCAGATGACTAATGTCTGGTAGATTAAGACCATCTCTCACCCGCTCCACGAGAGTGGCCACTGTATCCTGCGTTCCAATGGGCAGCAGACGCTCCGGCGTAGGAATCTCCAACGCGGCAATGCTCTTGGGTGGCGGCAGACTCTGCATACCCTCATCCACTTCATCCCTTGGATTCGGCATCACGCTCATCTTAGACAGTGGTGACTCTGGGGATCCATAGTTTTTGTCCGTCCGTTTAAGAGATTTGGTTTGGGATTTTTTTTGACGCGAGTCATCCGCCGACGAGCTCGAGTTTCCGGCACTGCACTCCACAATCGTCTTGTGGCGTCCAATTGGCTTGCTGGCAGGCACAGAAGATGATCCCTGGATGGCAGCGGGAGCACTTCCTCCACTTCCATTGCCATTGGCCGACCGACTGCCACTTCCGCTACTAGATCCTGCTTTTCTTTCTACGGACGTGGGTACATCCTGCAGAGCACCCAGAGCTTTTAGGTGATTCGTGGCTATGGCGGCAAACATTTTCGAGGTGGAAGCGGCTGCATTCTCCAGGGACTTATTGCGAACGGTCACTGCTCGATGGACATCAACTGGCGGACTAACTATAGCAGTCTCTGTGGTTTCAGCACCCACCAATGGAGTGACGATCATCCGAACACCTTCCTGCAAGCTGTGCCTGGTGTGGGTGGTCACAAGGGTTTCACTGGTGGTGGTGGCCTTGATTTTTGTGGTGTACGTATCGCCAACTTTGGTGGTGATCATCGACTTGTGGGATTTGGTGGACTTCTATGTGGGGTAATTCATTTTATTTAAATTTCAAATATCACGAATATGGCCTTGTTTTACCTCTTCAGTGTACTCCACAGCTCGACGGTTACGGGGCATGACATCCTCGAAATGTATGGTATCATCAAAGGATCCCTGGAATTATATTATTTGATGATTCGAATTGTAAGACTTTTCTTAGATTTAAAACATACAGGTGCACTGCTTCCGTGTAAAGTGCTATCCGAGAGATCACTCTCCGGAATAGCCACCAATTCCGACTCCGTTTCATCCGCATCCAAGCTTGAATCGTTGTATTTGCGGAAAGCGTGCTGTAATTTTGGGGTAAAGGCCACATTCTGACCCTTACTCTTAGACGCGGCACTGGTTCCCTCAGAGGGAAACATTGGGCTGGCTGGTGGACTGGCTTCTTTGTCGTCCGGATCCGTGCCGAGTGAGGGTTGACTAACATCGCGGGATCTAGCAGCGCCGCCCACGCCCTGAATATCTAAAATAGTCGTGGTGGGAATACGACGACATTGATGGAAGTGTCCACGCAGACTGTTCATGATCAAGCGGATGCCGGCGATGACATATCCACTGAGAGGAGGCTGGGTATAAGAGTACTTGTAAAGCACAACCAGTAAGGTGAATAGCCAGTTGCGACGTGGATACTGTTCCAGATGCCACAAGGAATAGTTGAAGACTATGTTCTGGTAAGATTCCCCAGAAGTGCTGGTTGGGTTTGGGGCATAGAGAATGATCTGCATGACTGAAGGCAGAATGAGGCCACCAATCAAGTGGTTCTGGTCCAGAACTTGTGGAAGATTGGCTAAGAAAGCGTTAAACACGGCAGAGACCCTGAGGAAAGCATACCGCATTATTTACCAAAGAGTTATAAATGTGATAAGAGGCTCACCTTAGAGACTCCGGAGTAGTATGGAAGGTCTTGTCAATCTGGTTGTGGCCTAGCAGCAGGAATAGATGCTTTAGCACAATATTCTGAGTCTTCGTCATAGGTTTCTCCTCAGAAGGATAGGCCTGATCTGTGCGGGACATAAACTGCATAAGCATGAATACCAGCAGGTGAATAGTCTCCCGATCAGACTCCTCCAGTTCCGTGATCCTCGACAGCAACCCAATGAGGTTATCATCGTTCAAGCCACCCAAAGAGTGAATATGACCATCTATATAGAATTTAGATGATAAAAATATTTAAAAATTTTGAATCTTATATCAAAATAGACATCTGCTTGGAGGGGAATGGGGGAAAACACCAATATCTTTTTGATTTTTGTTTTTTTTTTTTTTTTTTTGGGTCACAGCCACATGCCAATTTCACAATTAGATTGATTTTTGTTTATGTAGATTTAAAATTTGATATGTATCTTGTATAATATACAGATATGTCTCTGTTGAGTGAAAGCCAATTAGAATTCAATTCAAACATTTTCGAGGGATATACGAAAAGAGAGAAATAGAGACAGGTTGTGAGGTAAAAATAGAGTTTTCTGTTGTGGAGTGGTCCGCGAGTAGAAATGTTGAGCATACATACCAGTTCGAAGGGGGAACACACTTAAACGACATTTGTTATGAAAAGCAGAGTTACACACACATAACTAGATATCTCAGCTGGATAATACAGATATAACACATATTTACAATTATATAGAACTATGAGATGCGGATCGATAGATGGAGGAGTATGGTTAATGGGAGTGCAGGAAATGTGTTTATATAGCATGCTTTTATGTTGAAAATGGGTGAGAGTGTGAGATTCTAAATAAAGTTGTGCCTAACAACATGCATTCTAAGCTATACTTTAATCCTGCTAACTTATTTTGTAAGTTAATAATAAAACCGATAATTATTAAAAGCCTACAATAGAATTGTTAGTATTGACATAAAATAAATTTATACTTTAAGTTCTATCCGAGTATTACTTATTTGCTTTTTTATAAGTATTAAACTAGAAAATTCTTTAAAATATATTATATTTCTGTTAAAATCATAATCTCTGGTTAATAAAATATCAAATTCGTTCCAATTAGGAAACTATATGTAATATTTTGTATAAAATAAATATTACTCCGGTCTTGGTTGTTCTGAATGATAATGTGAGTGGTGTTAAGACACTGACAAAGCCAAGGCAACACCGAAATTGGTTACATCACTCACGAGAATGGTGTTACTAGTTAGTTACTAGTTATTTTTAAATTAAACTCTAAAACATTTTTTAAGGTTAAATGTGTTTGCAATGAAAAGGGAAAAACCACATTTTTTCAAGTTTTTTCTTTCAGAAATTTAAACTGCATATCTGTGGAGACTTTTGCGGATTCCTCAAAAAATTGTTAATTTCTGATTCAAAATATTTTTTAAAATAACAATAAATTAAATGTTTTTGTTTTCCAATTCCTTGTGAGTGATGCATACATTTTGCAAGAACACCGATCATCAGACACCATCGAGAGGACGGGATTCACAGAACAAACTGACATCGATGAACACACGTGCTCTAGCACCTACCTGGATTCGCCGAGCTGCCGGTGGCCGCCGCACCCGTGACCTGAGGATGCGGATGGGGTGCGGCATCGCAGGTGCAGTGCAGGGGGAAGGCCAGAGTCGAGGGGCTGGGACTGGGGGCCGGCACGATGGCCGGCTGCGGGGGCAGCAGATTTGGTGCCGACGGATGCTTTTGGAAGTGGGAGTGGAAAGAGTGATGGGGATTCGGATTCCCCATGCTGCATCCAGCTGTTCCCGATCCAACTGCCGCTGCTTCCTGGGCAGGATAACCCAAAGATCCGCCGACTGATCCACTCGCCGCAGCGGCATCGGCGGCTGCCTGGGAACGGAGTAGCGTTTCCGCTTCCTGCAGCGTCGGCATCGGACTATGGTGACTTGGGGGCACACAGTGCACCAGGTACTGATGGCTCTGACTGTGCGTCGAGACTAAACCGGCCGAAGTGCTGGCGGTGGTGGCTACGTGTGCACTACTACCGGCATGATGATGCGGATGATGGTGTGGATGGGGGTGAGGGTACGGATGGTGGGCATGTGGATGGTGGTGGTGGGTGTGATAGGGAAAGGCCGTGTGCGCTGGCTGGTGGATGGGACAAGGCGGCGGCTTGGGTCGCGAGGAGCCCGCTGCCGTTGCTCCTGGATTCATCGACTGGCTGCTGCCAGAAGCCCCCCCACTACTACTGCCCAGGAACTGACCCAGTCCGAAGCGAGAGGTTTTCCGCTTGAGTATAGGCGCCGAGACCTGGCGGCTGTAGATCTTCTCCTTCTCGGGAACTGGAATTAGAAAAGAAAGTCGAAATTGAAGAATAGAAGTCTTATAAAATAAGAAAAGTTAAATTAAAACGAACACTCACCAAACTTGCTATCCTGTCGAGGAGCCATGCTGGCAGGAGCAGACATGGTTCGCTTGTAGGGCCACTTGGTGCCAAAGGAGGCACTCAGAGTTTTGGCCATGCTGCCACTGGTATCCGACTGGCTAAGAGCCTCCCTAGCCTTCTGGATCTTGGCCGACAGAGCTTCACTGCCATTGTCCGAGTTCCTCAGATCCCGCAGATACGAGATATCGCCGCATTTCTCGAGATTGATCTGTGCCTCCACGAAAAGCGTGTCAAAGCGATTCAGGAAGAACTCCCAGCCAAGCATCTTCCGATCGGAGAGGGAATTATGAAGCTGGTAGACCGACTGGAGCACCACTGGACGGTCCACAATGAATAGATCGAACTGGGACTCCAGGCAGAAGAGAAGCGACCGAATTGCCGTGTCATGGATTGTCCCAATGTAGAGAGTCGCCCGCTGCGCCACGTACACATTGATGTCGTCCATGCTGGCGATCAGGTGACAGAAGGCGGTGGCCAGCGCCGTCTGCAGGCCCACCTCGGAGCGCAGGGGGGTCGAGTCCATGAAGCGGGTAATCACGGTAACTCGCTCCACTGCCGTGAAGCGGACGCGCCAGTCCGTGTCGTGGAAAGCCTCCTGCACCACACGCCAAAAGACATCCTGATCCCAGTGGCAGCGTGATGCAGTGCAGCAGCAGTGGCACGCCCACTTGGCAGATGTGAGAGTGCTCCGCGTTGCATAGCTCCCACAAGCTAAAAATTTGGTATATTTATGAAAAACTTATTTTGTTTGTCTCCACTTACTTTTTGATCAGAAGATTCTCCTGGCACCAGATGAAGAAGCCACGCTGCTCTCTGGCCGCCTTGGCCAGGGCATCGCCATGGAGGGCCATCGTGTTAAGGCATTGTAAAACGTAGTAAAGAATCTCGGGTTTCTTGATGGTGGGTATTTCCTTTTTTGGAGAATCATAGAGAATAAATTTTGTGAATTTTAATAAAAGTCTTTATAAAAACTAGATCGAATGGGAATTAAATTACGAGCTCAAGGAGGTCTAATTATGTCTTAAACACCACCGTAACCTATAACCTATAAGGATAACATTTTCCTACCGTCAGAAGCTGATGTATGTATTGCAGAGGCTGGGGCAATGTGTCCAATGTAAACTTGAATTTGCCCACGGAGGTGTGCCAAAAGTCATCGCTGTCCTCCTCTTCCTCGTCCTCTTCGGAACCGCTACCATTCTCCCCGCCACCACAGGCCGCTCCGCCATTGGCACCGTTCTCACCCATGACCGAGGCCTTGGTCACGCTGACATTGGCACTGCCCACGTCGGCATCGGAAAGGGTTATAGAGCGGGCTTGGGCGTTTTGTGGGGGAAGAGACATTGGCCGTCATGTTGCATGAGATAAATGGCGTGGGATTAGCGAAAAGGATAATGCCAAGGACATGGCAAACTTTAATCGTATATACGTGGTATGGTTTTTATGGCACATTCTTTTGGTAACAAATGCAATGTTCGGGGGAGCTTTGACTACTGTTTAAGAGTTTTTTTTTTTTTCTACCGTGGCCGTCATGATCTAAAGCATAGAGATAAATGGGGTGCCGCGATTATGGTTACTGTTTCAAATTTTAAATTATTATTTAAGGAAATTAATGCCAAGGAAATGGACATTTTATAATGATGTTAATAAAATATGAGTAAAAATTTTTTTTATAACGGCGAAATAGTGTTCCGATTTGAAAATCTTTGGTAAATCGATAGATATTAAATAACAAGGTCAAACAATTGTGGTTGGTTTTTACATGGTGGTGCAGAGGCATCCAAACGTGTTAAATTGTGTTTTTATAGTTTTTGAGACATTCCTTTTGTTTTGGTTTGGGGGACAACATCATGTAGACAAATGCAATGTTTGAGGGGAGCTTTGACATTTCGATAGTTACCACTATAAGATGGTTGCCATCTAAAGATTATTCCGAATTCAACTTTCTAATGATTCCTGAGATTTAGTTTTAACAAAGTAATTTACATCAAAAACGATACATAACACACGAAAAAAATTGCATAAATATTTTGTTACATTTTCTGTGCATTGCTGTGATTATAATAAAATTACTTTTTATTTTTTTATATATATTTTTATTGGGTGGTGGGGTGAGGCAATTAACTGTGACAGTGCTTGTACATTGAACATGCTTCTTACAATGATCGATAAATGAAAAGAATTATTTTTGTTATGTGAATAAAATTAGCATAGAACGCAATATTTACATGTTAAATAAGAGATATGTAAAATCGAGATTGACTTAAATAAAATGTACATTTATAAGAACTCGTTTTTTTGATTTTCGTTCGATTTACGATAAATTTGTAATTTATTTTCACACACATACAAGATACTTTGAGACACAGTAGTTGAATAAAACGAATAAAAAACTAGTAACGGAAAAGATTTATTAATCTATTATTCGGATGGAAAAGCTAGAGAATTATTAAGTTTAAAAAGCTTATCTGGGCGTATTTTCTCTAAAAGAAAGTACTTTTTGCAGGTGTCGTGGATGATGTCTTTCAGCCTAGTCTCTTAAAATTAGAAGAAGTTTTAAGAAAAACTATTATTTTTTAAATTAAATTATAATATTAGTTGCTAATTTAAGTAATCATTTCATCATTTCTTTAACCTATTTGTTAGATATAATATCTCTAAGGCTATCTATAAAAACATCTCTATAGTGCTTGTTAATTTTCTCTAAAACTGATTTATTTATAAATAAAATTCGAATAAAAAATGTATACTTATTCAATTGAAAATAAAACTTAATCAATAGCAGGAAAAACACTCTGTACATTTATTTACACTTAACACGAAGAGTACGATTTGTTGACTGGACATAAAAAACTATAGATATTTAAAAACGAATTATACAATTATCGAATCGTAGGAGGATTTCATAATTGGGCAAAAATAATAAAACTTAAGTTAAAAAAAAGTTGTATAGCTTTTGTTGGTTGATTTGTTTGTCTTTTGTTTGGTATTTCTTTTTTTTTAAGAATGCACAAAGTACCTCGTCTGTGGCGTGAACTTTTCTCAATTCATTACTATCAACTGAATGCCCATTTTCGTTATTCTATAAAGAATATATGAAGAAATGAAAACGTTTTTGTATAATCATTGGACAATAATTGATTTTCAATTTTCCAAAATAAAAACATTGAATTGGAATTTGTTTTAAAAGTAAAATCAAAAGTAAACCGAATAAAGATTATGTTTTGATTAAATGAAACAACTCGAATGCTCACTTCAACTTAGTATTGCTTTGTTGCTGTAATTGAGTAATTTGAATATTTATAGCAAAGATATAAAATATATATGTATATATATATATATATATGGGGTGTTTCAATATACCTACAGTCAACGCATAATATTTTGATTTATATTTATTTCTCTTTGTTTTTTTTTTCTTTATATAATTTATTTCTTGGTAATGTGTTAAGAACTTTAAAATTCGAGTATGGTCGTCAATAAAAAAGTGACAACTAAAGAACATAATTTTTATGGACGATATTGCTTATGATCGAAATACATACGGAACAGACGTGGGGCATGTGGACGAGCACTCCGCCCACAGAGTGCGGTTCTGGTTGGGGCACAGCCACTGGCACTGGACCTTTTCAAAGAAAAGTATACATTAGGATTAGTATGGGATCATAGAAACTTGGAAAGGCGAGTCCAGCTAAAAAATGAAGTTGGCTTTGTGGTCAACATACAACTGATTGGCATTCACAAATCAATCATGCATACATATACATAGAAATCCTATAAGTGTCATTCGGATAGGTTTGAAAAATAGGAACTTCATTGAAAGTATCTCATGCAGGTTTTCTTTTTCAAACATAGTGTTTTTTATTTTTACATTACTGCCAATTGGGTACTACGCGTGGATTTTTCCGGCTTTTGAAAGTTTTTTTTAAATCCAATGGAAGGAAGGAACTGCCTACCGAAAAATCATAGAACATGTGTGATTTCTGTGCTTGTGGTGTTTGTACTAAAACTCGCAGTTAGGTGTTCGTTGGTTTTTTAAGGTAAGGACTATAACCGAAAGATTGATCTATATATAGGCAGAACGGAACTGAACTCACTAGGGGCGGTCAATCTACACAGGTCAACTAGATATAAAAGCTTGGTTATGCTAAATCATATACTCTAGTAACGCTAAACAGAGATAGAGAGTTGTGTGTGTGTGTGTCTGTAAAGTGTGTGTTTGTGGCACAGATAGAGATTGTTAGAGTGAACGAGCGAAACTATTGTTGTCTTTTTCTGTTGATCGTGTCGTGACGTGTTAATAAAAAGTATTTTTTAGTTTTTGTTTGAGTTGAGTAACGAAATGTTTCAACAAATGCTTCATAATGTAAATGTAAATTTGTATTTTTTGATTTTTTTGTTTTTTTTTTTTTTTTGGATAACGAATGAAAAATTTTCTTGTGGTGCATCACCTGCCATTATAATAATTTTTCCATCGTCTGAAAAGAATTGATCTAGCTTAAAGATATCTGATAATGATTGATAGATTTTAAATTTAGTTTGGTATTAGTTTTGCAGTATTTCATGAGTCGATATATATTAGTTTTGTAGATTTTTTTTTTGGTCATAGACGAGAAGTTTTCGAGTGTGAGAGAAGGAGAGACGCGCGGAATAGGGTGCGAGCGAGAGAGAGAGACAGCGTTAGTTATGTTATTTTTGTACAGGCAGAGACGCGCAGTAGAATATGTTAGAGATAGAGAGAGAGAAACAGATATACATATTTATGTAGAGAGAGATAGCAAGATAGACAAATAGTTATGGTTTAAAAATATAAAGTACAGGTGAGATCAGGATGACTTAATGATTATCTTTTCCACGAATGATCGTTTAGATGGTAGTTAATTCATTCTTCTGAGATTTGTTTGATTTAGTCTTGGGGATTGTTTAGTTGGGTCAAGTAGGTAACTTTACAAGGCATAGCAGTGCAGGTATCTATTTGTAGGTTGTAACAAAGTTCGGTTTGCGCTTTAACGTGGGTTTTTTAAGGCTATATTAGGTTGTTTATAGGGGGAGACTCGACGGGCGAGCCGCCATTCCATACCATTCGCCCGCAAAATGTAATATATTTTATATAGATTTTATATAGTCCAGGCTCAAGTACTGTCTACAATTAGCTACTTTTTGGTGACGTTTCACTGCTTTACTGTTACGGTGGTTAGTTTATTTATAGGTGGGTGGGTTTTTGGGTGGTTTTATTTCGGGATAGAAACTTGGACGGGTCTTTATAGACGGTTTATGTTACAACCGGGGTTCGTTAAAGGGTCTTCGAAATAACTTAAAATGCTTTGGAAAGTCTGGAGCGTACCTGCAAAGCCTCCTAAAGGACCCAATGGAATTGGTAAGGGAGCCATTGAGAGAGAGACATCTCGATCACGGGTCTTTTCTTTATCCGATTCGGGTGGAGATTTGCGAGAAGATTTCTCCTCTTCAATGATGTCCTCGATGGGAACCTGGGAAGCTTACTCATGAGAAGATATTGACTTAAAGTGAAACGAATAGCCTACATCTGGTGGCCTAACTGGATTCAGGGGAGCCATGAACTGGACCAACTTAGTGGCTAGTTGATGCCACATGATGGAAGCCTCACAATAGGCACATTCTGCCACCTGTTAAAAATTTTTTGCTTTTGAAAAGTATAATTATTAAAAGATGTAAAATCTAGCTACCTTCAAAGCGCAGACATGACTGCTGAGACCCACACGAGCTGCGGTGACCATGCACTTGATCAGCCTGGAGACATTCTCGCAGACGCTCGTGTGGATGCCCATGTGCTGCTCCACGTCCTGCAATTCCATTTGCTTCAGAAGAATGTCCAGCATAAGGATGCAGCAGGTAAGATTGTGCTCAGCATCTGTGGAGAACTCCGTGTGACGATTGGTAGGCGCCTCATCATCCGAGATGGCAGACGTATTGCCAGAGTCATCCTCGACAACAGGAGCTAAGGTATACAACAATTTATAAATTAGATGTACTGCTCTAAAACTCTACGGAAAATATTCACAAATTGAGCTCCTCCTGGGTGGATTGGCCATATCTGCCTTGGTTTCCTTGCTCTCTTTACATGGGGTTTTGGGAGCCTTGGCCAGGGATTGGGACTGAGCATCCTTTTCCCGCATCAACTCGTGCTGGATGCCATATTTCATAATGCGAACTCCGTCGCCAAACATGGCGAATAACTGCACCAAGGGTATGAGGATCTCCAGCTTGGTGAGGATCTGCAGCCAGTGGAGAGCCTGTTGCTGCACCTTGGCCGTTGTCTTTTCAAACCGAATGGCCACAAAGTTGTACATGGTTTTGGCATCAAAGCCAAGAGGAGACATCTCCGGATCGAGGATCTTGCTTAGTACAATCTTCAGCTCATTGAGTTCCTTCTCGGCCACATCGTTGGTGATGGCCTCCATCCAGTGGGGCATTACATAGTCCCAGATCTCGGAGGTGATGACTTCGTACGGAACTAGGCAAATGAGTCGCTGAAGACCTTCCTTCAAATGACTGGTTCGTGATGCCAAGGTCTCCCAGTGGCCACCAACGCGGGCATACTCTGGGGGATGGGGCAGCAGGCAGGAGATGAAGACGTTGTAGTGGATGCGGCAGATGTCCTTCAGCCAATTGCACACATGATCCACTTTCAGCTTCTCAATGGTGCTCTCCACTTGTCCAGCAGCTAAAGGGAAATTTGGTTACTTTTTAAAGATCAGTTAATCCCTGATCTTTACTTACCATCATATGAATAGGCGGTGACATGGAACCAATGGAAAAGCATGCTAAGGATCCTGCCTAGCACTTCCACAGGAGTGTCTGCAGTGGGAGTACAGCGACCCACCAGCAACCAGATACCATACCGCCCCAACCTCTGGCGCTCTTCCAACGAAATATTGTCGGCTGTCAAGGGGGATCCATTCTTCTTGGACTCGGACGACGATGACTCCTTGCCAGGCTCAAAGTTCAATGGCTTGGCCTCCCGCAGAAGGCTCACTACTGACTCAACCATGTGCATCTGCATCTCCGGGTCCATCTGCCAGGCGGGCTGCAAACTGCGATGAACCACATGGTCGCCTCCACGACGGGAATTGTGCCTATTGCTGTGGCACTGGCTGCAGTAGCGGATTGGGTGGTTGCCATTGAAGCTGGCACACTCAGTGGAGAAGCAGATGGAGAAGGCTGACTTCTCGTTGGAGCGGCAGTTTTTGTTCTCGCAGACCATTGACACCTGCTGCATGGGATGCAGGATGTCCCCAAACTCCAGGCTACTATGCTCTCGATGTATCTCATTAGCGCACTCGATGCACAGGTAAAGTGGCGGAGGACAATCTGGGGCATAGGCGATACTGATGCTGTGGTCATAGCACACCTTGGCAGCCTCTGCGTTTCCCGAGTTAGGGCAATGCTCCCGCTGACAGGTGAAGGGTACTAGGTCATCTATTTAGTAAGAGGATATACAAATTATTTGATATAAAATGTTAACACAAATACAACTTACTGGTTAGTTTGGATAGCAAGACTTTGCGATCAAATAGATTGGCGTTAAAGGCTGGCCAGTAGTAGAAGAGCAGCTTGGCAGCGGAGGTTCTGGAGACAGCGGTTCCATAGGCCACTACGCATAGGATGTCCTTAACCACATTGTGTTTAAGAGTCATCAGACACTCCAGCAACTGGCAATGATGAGCCGGATTGTTGGAGTACTGCAGCACCATCATGATGACCGAGGACACTGACTGGCAGGCCTGGCATTCCTGCTCATCGGAGCTTCGACGGGCTGTAGTTATTAAAATCAGTTATTACAATTGTTTAATTTCTCCGGAGAAGTAACTATTACTCACTTATAGTAAAAGGTAAGATATAGTAACATAGAGCATTGACAATATCCTGATGCAATGCTGGTGGTAAGACAGATATAGTGGAGCTTACTAGATAGGGTAGATTATCAATAAGATCCTTGTCGAGAAAGGGTAGGATGCAGCTTAGGCACTGCAATAGAGCTTTTCCGAAAACTAAAGAGAAAACTCGGATTAATATAGGATAAAGATCGGTTGTAAGTAAAATATCTCACCGATTTGTCCATACTGGATACAAGGTGCCACATCAATGAGCATAGTAAGAGCATTGTAAAGATTGCCATATTCGAGATTGGGATAGGCAGACATGCGAGTGGGATCTTCAAGAGGATCGCGGATAAGCTCGTGCGGCGAGGTTCGCACATCTTTAAGGACAGCTGTAGAAATTTTTAACAGATTAGCGTAGGAAAAAGTTTTTTTAAAGTTCGAAATTTCCCAATTAGTACTTACTTAGTAGAGTTTGAGAAAAGTATTTGATATTGTTAGCAATATCGACGCCAGAGGGCGCAGGTAAGACGTTGTGCAATAGACGTACGTGGTATTCATGAAGGGCTCTCAGTTTTGCCTGAACTGTAAGCAAGAACAAAAAATGTGAGACACCTAGAAAGTTGAGACTTCTGGGGGCGACTTACAGGCGGCAGCGCGAGTGCCCATGTTGATGAGTTGCACCTTAAAGCTGCCAGTCATTATATCAGACAAATCCTTCGCATTGCCGAAACTGCTGCCGAGGGACTTCGCATTCTGCAATAAAGTAAAATAATAAAATAGTTAACACTTCACATCTGGAATTACGTAACCAAGCCGCCCCTTGAAAGATGCTACCATTAAAAAAAGTGTCGCAAACATAAGAAACTTCATAGATTAACAAGAATTTTCATACACCACAGATGCTAAGGGTACTAAAGATAATATTTTTAATAAACTCACCTCGAAATTGGTTAGTTTTTTCAATAGATTTGCAATTTTTTACGGGTTTTACAGCAAGCCACGTCCACGAAGAAAAATCTCTATAACTAAACTGAGTTTATGGTGTGTATCTGTGCAAGAATTCTGCTATCTGTTGGACGCCCTATGACCCCCTTGGTCATAATTTTCCTCTTACAAACAGTTTTTCAGCAAGTTAAAAGGGGTTTTAGTTGGAATATATAATAAATACAATTATATATTAAATATCTTAAGTTTCTTAATACTTTTTATTAAAAATGTAAAGGAATTTGGCTAAATTAAAGTTGTGGGGTGGGTACTTGACCCACTTTTACCACCCACCCTTGGCAGCAGCCTTAAGGAACAGCTGTTCCCGAAGTAGGACATGCGCATATCGCGTGTTTATCTCACATTTTCCGCACTTACCGGCAGTTTTCCAACAAGTGTTTGTTTTGGTCTAGCCAATGTAAATATTTACTATTTCTAGCCGGGTCCGGAGTTTGCGCAGATAACGCTTTATGTTTGTAAATATTCCACAGCTGATTATTCTGTTATCCTTGCTATGCAACTGGTATCTGTTTGGAGATTTTCCACGAAGAGATTTCGTTGATGCCATAAAGACTTAGAGGCTTTACATACCCTAGGATTCAATTATGAAGCTAAATATATTATTACTGATTTAAGAACCTCTTCAAATCAATTTCGTTTAATTAGGGTAGGACTGACATAAATCTTTTAACACCCCTTTTTCTTTTTAACCCACACCTTCCAACAATTAAATACTCATTACAGAATTTTGTTAGCCAACTTTTGAGGGTGTGTCACTTTAGGGCTTCCCTGGAAAATGTAAATCTCAAAAAACTGTAGGGGTTGTCCAGCAGTTCGTCTGGCTTATGCGGCACCTTTTAACCCTGAAGTTTTCAACCCAAAAGTACAAACTCGTTTGGGAAATTGAAACCCCCAGAGCAGACATTTTAACAACCGACTTAACTGAACTTTGTGACCCCAAAGAAGTCCAAAAACAGATGGGTTTACTGACCAGGATGATATGTCATTGGAAGGACATTTAAATACCTTTTTGGAGAAGGTGTTTATTGTGACGCAAACTTGCAATTATAATTGGTGGAAATAAAGCGGATGTGTTTTGAGTATTTCAGCATAAGGGGATATATCTTGAATCCTTGATTAGTTTATAGAGATTGGTTTTGTGTGTTTCAGGTTTCAGAGCACCCACAGTTCAGAGATCAGTGAGCCCAGAGATCGGGAGAAATGTTAGATGCCATCCTAGAGATTGAGATTGAGAGAACCTGGAGCTGGCTGAATAAAGTCTTCATCCACCGGCTCGCTGTTAGTGGTTAACTGACCTCCCTCTAATGCATTTAGAATGTCCTGTCCAGACGCCTTGTGGGCAACCGGTTTTAGGGAACTCGCTTTTGGTACCTCCGAATCCATCCTTTCTTCCTTAATTTCAGGTTGGTCCTCCTTGGCATCAGGTTGGCCATCAGTTTCTGTCTCTTGGTTTACCGGTTGCAGTTCATGCACCTCCTCCGAATCATTCTCTGGGTTATCGTTCAGTCCCAATTTGGCATTTTGACGCTGGCTCTTTTGGCGATTGAACAGCAGCTTCCAGTACGTCGAAATAGATGTCTTGATCGTGGGCTTTATATTGGGCAACGGCTTCTCAGGATCCACAGGGTCTGCGGCTATCGAGGTAGATTGCTCCTGGCCGTCTGTTAACGGAAGTTAATAATTTGATTAAGATAATTAAAAGTTCTTGATCACATGGCTTAGAGCCAGGAGCCAGGTTACTTCGCCTGTTACTTACCCTTGCTGGATCCCTTCATACGGGTGAAGAAACGACTTATCGTGTTGGACTTCCCCAGCTCCTTGTTGTCCTGGGATGAGGTTTCGCTCTCATCCTCCACTTGATCCCGCATCATTGGTTTCTTACTGATTTTAAAGAAACGTTTCAATGAATTAGACTTGGGCGTGGTTGCCACATTGGAGCCGTCAACAGGCAAGCCTTCGGGGTCGGCTAGTGGTATTTCTTGCAGATTGGACATTTTCGTCCACTATGTCCACCAGAATTTTAATAGTTTTTTTTCAATTGAAATACAGCTCAGTTAAGTAAGAAATATAAGTTTAATATGACTGGTATTGTTGAACGAACTGCCTGACTAAGTTGTTGGAAAAGTCAGAGGTAACTTGACATTATTATTTAACAAAGTTAATTTTAGTTGACTTGATTGAAAATTTGAAACAGTATTAATGATAAATTATAAATATATATGCGAAATGCCTTGTTTTTGAATATTTTAATAAATTATTTTAAAGAAATGTTGATGGAAAAATGCTGCTTTAAAGCCATTAACCGATTGCTCTTACTCTGTTTTTTTAAATGCATTTTCTTTGGCAATTTGGCGACGCTTGGTTAACATGTGTTAACAACGACATCGAAACAGGTTTCAATTGATACGACTTTGATTCCATTTTCTCCCCGCAATCGAACGGTTTCCCCGGCCAGGACAAAGCCAAACTGAAGCCTGCTGAAAAAAAAACTGCTGAAATAAAAGCCAAAGGCAATTCATTCAATATGTGCACACAATACCCCTTGTTATGCTGCTGCTGCCCCATTGTTTCAAATGTTCGATGTCCGTTGTCCGTTTGTCCAGTCACTGCTGCAGTGTTCCGTTCCGTTCCTGAGTTCGGGCCCACCAACAAAGTGGCTTCGAAAATCAATTGGAGAACTGGTGGCGATTCCTGCTGTCGACACTGCGCCATCCCTCCAACTTGGCTGCGCTCTGCTCCCTGATCCCTTCTTCTCGTCCAGCTCCTGGAATCGAGAATCGAAGTCCGTTAATTTATGTAGTTATGTATTGCCAGGTTGCCAGGATACCCGAAACAATGGACAATTGCTGCTGCTGTTACAGCATGCGAAGTGTAGGCCTGTTTGCCGTGCGCTTTTGTCTGCTGGAGGTGTTGAAATTCTGAAAAAAACATATAATCAATAAAGGATCAATTTGAATTCCATAAAATTAACCAATTTGGGGATGGAATTTTCAAGATAATCCCAGATTTTTTATTTATATTTTCAAAATTTTAATAAATTTTAAAACAGCGTGTAAAGGGTTGCCTTTTTATTTCCATATTAGACATATTCTTTATCCATTTCATTTTTAATTTGATAACTCTCAAGCCCCTTAAAGTGACGACTCCCATGCTCCATCAAGTTATGTCCAACCCCTTAAATAAAAAAAAATTAAAAAGTTGATGGAAACCCCCACACGCCGTCCCTACAACAAAGGGACATCAATAAATCATCAACAATAAAAGCATAAGGGAAATGAACAAGGATAATGCAAGGGCAATCCTTTTGCACAGCCAACAGCTGCTCACCCACACTGCTGGAAAAAGTGTGAAAATGTCAGCGGTAATGGGGAGTTATCTCCATCTCCGGCGGCAATAAATGCTCAGCCATTTGTGGAATGGGCGCCATATAATGGCCAAAACGGAAATGTTGTTTGCAGCCAATTCATTGCCAACAAACAGTTGCGAAAACGGCAAACAACAAACAGCATAAACACCCCCTGCAGGCTTACGCAGGAGCAACACCATACCAATGAATAGGAGGTGGTGGTGGGGCAGTGGGAACAATGGCAAAAGCAGCAGCCACAGCCACAGCAGCAGCAGCAATAGCAGGCACAGAATCAGCAGAAGCTGCAACTGGAGACCGCAAAATGTGTTGCCACAACCCTTGGGGCAATGAAGCTGGAGCAGGAGCCACAGCTCTTTGGCCGGAGTTGTAGATGGAAACTCATAAGTTGGTCGTCTGGCAGACAAATCCTCAGAGCAAGTGCATTCATTCATTGGCAATAACAATCAAACTGCTGTTGGCAGTACACAAGCCCTTTGCCCTGCCCCTTTTTGCTCATCTCTGGATGCCATTCAACTTGTTTGCACTGCTGCTGCTGCTGCTGCTGTTGCTGCTGCCGACAATAGCAACAACAGCAATAACAGCAATAACAGCAAGCAACATGCAACAGCAAAACAGCTATGGTAACCACAAGCAACCAACTCGGTGCTGTTGACTTTAATATTTCGGTTTTCCGTTTATTACAATCCCCCCAAGATCAAATATACTGAAAATCGTCGTAGATACCGGGAAATATTCACTCTATGTGGGAAAGGTAAACCTTAACCAGTCACTCCTGGGAATCCGATAAAGCGACCATAAATTTTAGAGTTTCCCCTCATTTCATCAAGTTCTCAAGTTCAATTTGGCACTGCCGTTCGCCTTTATAGATTTACAATATTTACATAGTTGCATTCGACCAGATAAGACAGCGATAAAGAGTTCAATCGCATCGGTTTATTGGCCTGCAACGTTTGTTGTTCAATTGCCGCTTGACTCTAGCTCTCTTTCTGTTTTCTGTTTTTAAATAAATAATATTGTGTAATGATAGTAATAATCCATATCTCAGCAGGCGAGCGAGTTTTGTGTAATCATTGATTAAATAGTTTTTCATTTACGATTTCACACTTTCACTTTATCCAACGGAAGATAAAAAGTGACTCGTTCGGAGGTCACATTATTTACCCAACCGTAATCCCTTAGTTATATCTGGTCTCAAAGCGAGAGAATCTTCTGCAATAAGTCATAATATGGCCATGCAGTTAATCAATAATGCAATAATGGCCATAAATCGCAAACCGTTGCAGGCGCCACTCCTCTCGCTCGATATTGGCCAGATATCGACTGATGGCTATCAAAGGCGCCAGCGGCGGCAAAGCAGAATGTCAACAGTTTAATAAATAAAATCAGTCAGCAGTGCCAGCCAGATGGGTTGCCAAGACAGGCGCGCGACTGCAATTAAAGGCTAAAAAAAGGGGCAAAGTCAAAGAACAAGTGCGGCAAATATCATCTCGGATCACTCACATGTTGCTCTTGCTGCTGGTGTGCTGATGCTGATGTTGCAGCTTGTCGTCGTGTGCGACAGGAGCTGATTGTTGCTGGTCCCAGATCGGAATCAGAATCAGAAACAGCGGCATCAGCGAAATCAGCGTCGACACATGCGATATTTGAGTCTCGGTTGAGAATTATGATCGATTTATTATGCGACAACGAACGACGGCAGCAGCAACAGCAACATGGCCAACTTGGCTGTGACAGGTTTCGGGCCTTGCTTCGGGTTCTTGGCCCACAGAATATGCGCAAGACATTGATTTTCGCCAGGTAATGAGGCAACTCATTAATCATTTTTTCGTTGCGCACTGGCTGGGGGATTATGTTGCTGCGACTGCAACAGGCACACCGGCAACAACAGCAGTTGCTGCCTGCCTGCCTCTGACGGAATGCTGGCAACATGTTGAGCGTGCAGCTGCAGCAGCCGCTTCTCCTTGCATCAGCATCCTGGCTGGCTGGCTGGCTGACTGGCTAACTTGCTGGCTGCTGCTGTCTCCTCTTGTTCTCTGCTTGATTTTGTTAACCTTTTGACCATTTGAAGTTATTTTTGTATGCTTTACTGCCAATTTGGTGGTCATTGGCCATTCACTTGACTTGCGCCTGTTGCTTGTCCGTTGTCTCTTGGCTGTCTGTTGCTGTTGTGTTGCAGTTGCTGTTGCTGTTGGTGTTGCTGTTGCTCTTGCGGTTGCTCTTTTGGCACACAACGCACAATGTCTGACAGTTTGGCCGATTGCCTGGCCTGTGTCGCTGTTGTTTTTGGTGTTGCAGTTCCTGTTGCTTTTGCCTTGATATTGCTCTTGCACTCCCCAATGTTGTCACGGTCACCTCCTCCTGACTTGTGGCACACACTTCTGATGCTCAACTGGCAGAAAGGGCAGAAAAATGGGATGGTAAACTTAATAAGTGCACTACATTTCCACTATCAATCACTATCTTGCAGCAAAGATGAACTACTTTATTAAGAAATGCTGATAGGAAGTGAAAAGTTTGTATAAATTATTAAAGAGAAATAAGTATTTAAATATTTAACGAAAATTAAAAGTATAATTTTCTTAGATTAATGATCAATACATTAACCCCGTGACTAATGAAGGGTATCAAAGATGTTCCTGGATGGGTTTATTGCCACTTTTCTGCACTTGTCGCGCACAGTTGGCCAACTTGTAAATGCCTGTCGTTGCGGTCGTTTGGGGGCCATTAGCCTTCGCCTTCATCTTTGGGGTTAGCCACACGCACAAATCCCGAAATTCTGGCAAAATTTCTTCATTTTCGATGAGCAACCCGACGCTGCCGGCTGCAACCTGCAGTTGTTGGCAATTATTTATAGTTTCTGATGTATTCAATTTATTATGCAGATGGTTAGAAAGTTGCTAAATACTTGATGTACGACTCAAACATATTGGGTGTAATTTTTCTCTGACTACCAAAGGAAGTTCAAGAGAAATCCCAACCAGATGCAGATGAGTTTATATTAGACATGCAAAAGTTTTCGTTCAGCGTCATAAGGAAATATTCAAGGAAATTCAAAAAAATATTTACGATTTTCTCACGATTACCATTCATTGATGAATGGTTCATGGAGTTGAAGAACATCTAGTGGATCCCCCGTTTGCTTAATTCGAAATCTATCCATGGTGTTAAAAACGCCGTTTGCTATCAAAGTCCGCTTAAAGTTCATCACACTTTAGACGGTAATTAATTACGGATACTTGCAACAAAAAAAGCACTCTAGTCAGAAGCCAGTAATTAAACATAAATAACCAAGACAACTTAATTTTGAAGGTTGGCCATTCCACAGCCGCAGTCGATCGATCGACATGCAATTCTCTATGCACTAAAGTTTAAAGGCCAGTTGGAAGAAAAAAATCCAGCCACAACGGCGATAGATAGCCAAGAGAGAGAAAAAAAAACATTTTCTAATTTATTAATATGTTTAAGAGGGAAAAAAATCTATTTGGCAAACAAGACCGACTGACAGCTAACATAGATCGCCGTGGCTGGCGGAGACCATTAGAAAGCGATTAGATAGCGATACAGATACAGATACTCGATCTCCCCCTCCTCGGTTAAAGACATATGTAACCCACGAGCCTGTCGGCCCAAGGAGTAGCGGCCAAAACAATGTCAGCCGAACAACAATGGCAGCTAAACATGGCAAGTTAACAGTTTAATTTACCAAGAGACAAACAAAAAATGCCGCTACATGCTAGCTAGCTAGCCAAACGATATGCGGATATTTAATGTATCCGCCAGATACGTAACATAGAAAAAAATAAAATACCGCTCTCAATCTCAGGACCTAAACAAAAGCGGCCAAAACAAAAAATACCCAACTGCAGTTATCGCTCATTATGGATCGTGATCAATGGCGTATCGGGTCTGTGTGAGAGATCCCCGAAAAAAAACACGAGGAACCGCAAGATAAACGCACTCTGGAGTCTACCGAAAACAAAAGGCTCTCTCTCTCCAGGTCAGGCCAACAAGTGTTGCTGGCCAACAAACCGAGCAAAAAGGCCGAAAAGGCAACGGTAACAATCTGGCGAACCAATATTTTTGTCCAAGCTTCCGCCTCGCATCCTTTTTCGGTCCTAATTTTGCATGCCCTGCTTCGAGAAACGGACCAGAGACCGAGGTAACTAAACGACCCAAGGCTAAATGACCGTTGAAGATTAGCCCAAAATATCGGTCTTGGCCAATAAGCACTTCAAGGAGCGCTACTATAAATTTTAAACCCTTTTTATGCTGCGTTAAGCCTGCAATTTGGGCAAATTTAAGTTTAATATTGGGATTATTATATAAAATGGATTAATATTTGTAAAGAAATTGTTTAGCCAATATATAAAGTTTAATTTAATGTAACATTTAACGTTTAAAATGTATTTAAAACTTTAAATCAACATTTCTTTTCTGATAATTTGACGTACACATGATGAACGTGAAAAAAACACATTTCAATTCAACAGATAAATATTTAAAAAATTTATTTTAATTTATTCAACCTTTAAGGGATCAGGTTGTGCCTCCTATGCCAAACCCTGCTGCATTTCATTATGTTAATAAAGCATTTAATTAACGCACCATTTATGGCCATCAACCCAATCGAATGCAGTTTACTTTCCTGGCCTCCACCTTGCCCCTTCCGCATCCCGATCGAGATCCTTTCCGCCAAGATCCTCCTTCTCATTCACATCTCCATTGTGCTGCGTGCAGCGTATCTGAAGGCAAAAAATAAAAAAAAACGTAAAAAATAGCCGACACAGCTGCGGTTTAGGCGGCATTATGGCTAAGACCTTAACAAAAACAAAAAAAGAAAATAAGAAGGAAAAACGCAAACCAAAAAATGCGGTAACCGCAAATGTTTTGCTGTAATTTCTGGTGTTTTTGCTTAAACGCTTCGATTTGGATTCGTTATGCTACAGATACAGATACTGATACGCTTTTTAAGATACACTTTCAATGCTCTTGGCCTTTTGCTTTTTGTTCTCCAGCGGCAAATGACATTGAAATGAATAGGGTTTGTCTTTGAAAGTGGCAAAAAATGTATGCCGTACCGGTTGATTGGGCATATAGGAGGAGGTTCTAGGAAGTTTTTGTGCCGATTTTTTGGATTTTGACTTGCCATGGGAATTGATATATGAAGTTGGATACAGAACTATATAAAAACTTACTCAACAGGGATATATGAACTCTTATGAACTGAAAGGAATACAGATATCAATATTTTAGGCAATAAATGAGTTTTAAAAAAAGATCAACTGGAATATCAACTTTAATTTTCCACTTATATATTTATCATATATTTTATTTTGTTATTATAAAGATTTAATTAAGCTGACTCAAACCACCATTTATTTTCAGCAGCAGCAGTTGGATACTTAAATTTAAAAGAAAATTTATTAATTTCCACCTGTTAGGAAACTGGTTAGCTTTCATAAGCTTAACCATAAATATATATTTTATTGACCTCCCGTTGGCCAATGTCCCGTGAAGCTTCCATCTCTTGGCTAAGCAACCAATCCTAAGTAGTTTTCTATGTCAACCGCTCACATTACCCACCCGATTTGGCGGCATTATAACCATTTTCCATATTCATACTTTAAGCCCATACGCACAACTTCTTAGCTGTCAGGCGGAACAATGATAATTTCCAAACCAAAAACTGGCTTCCATCCCATCCAAAAAATACTTGAATGAGTAAAAAAGGAAACATTTTGGCTTTACCGTTAGCCGACTATAACCCATCAATTATATTGTAATGATGTCTGGCTTTAGCTACTTCTGCTGCTACTTCTCCTGCTGCACTCGCAGTCACAGTCACAGCCGCAGTCGCATCTACAGAAATCATGAGCAGGAATGGCAACTGGGCAACATGCTCATTATCAACGTCATCATTGGGCGGCGATTGGGACTGTTGGGGGGTAGGATAGAGGACCATGGGCATGGGCATTAGAATGTGGCCCAAGTCAAAGACATCCACATTTGAGTTCGAAAAGCAAAACTACTTATAGCACTGATGAGAATCGCGCCCGCCGAATCCACGCAGCTTCCAGCAGACTGACACTCGCCGCTGCCAATCGATGCACTGGAAAAAGTATTAGAGGCTTTGAAAAAGAAATTAAACTATTTTAAATTTAACATTTAAATTTAAAAAACATAACAAGCTTTTACTATATCTTAATTTATAATATTTTATAATTTATTTTTCCATGCTACTGAAGAATTTCTTTCCTAGCTTTCTTCGCCAGTGTACCCTTTGGAACTTTTTAGCCGTTGTAGCATTTGCATTCGAGTGTCCACTAAACGTCAATTAAGTGGGCTTTACCCACTACTCGGGATGGTTGGTCAGTTTGATTTGGTCGCCACTCCTGCTCCAGCTCCTCTCTTAGCTCTTATTCCCTCACTTTTCAGAGAAGGTTTCAGGAGTTTCGCTCCAACTGCGATTTCCACTTTGCCCAGTACAAATACATAACATAACATAACATGAAGTAATAGCTATAACAATATTGTGTACACAAGATCCTAGTGGAGGAGGGGCTGTCTAGGTTGGAAGAATCTTCAACGGCGGCATCATCGTTGTCGTCATCATCATCTGCATGTGTGAGCCTCTCCCAGCGGTTTTCCCAGTGGTTTCGGTGATGGTGCGGTGGCGGCTCCCTTTGTCATTCCGCCATGACGCATGCGTAACGTTCGATTTGATTCAATTAATGGACGGGAATTGTCTGTACGTGTGGTTTGATTGGGTTGGGTTCGTTTTGGTTTGGTTTTGGTTTTGGTTTAAGCATTTGTGTGCTTTTCTTAGCTTTGATTTGTTTTTTCTGTGGTCCAGGCAGACTGCGGGGCAGACTTTTCAGTTGCTGATGGGTTGGGATATGTGGATGGAGGTGGATTTCAAGTCGGAGATGTAGCAGAAGCTCGAGTGCTATGCAAACACATTAAGTATTGTGGACTCGCGGTCATGGCAAGTGGTGCTATTCGGGGAAGTATGTGGCCTTTCATAGGGATTAATTGAAAATAAATACTTGTAATAATATTTTGTTAATATATTCTTAAAGCCATTATTATAAGAATTATACCATTTTAGACCATACCATAGATTTGATGTAAAATAGATGTTGCGAGTGTGAATAATCAGTTCCTTTGAAACTAGAAATAAGTGTGGCAACATTGAAGTTGTTCAACACTACTAACCAGTGTTAAGATCGGCAGTTTATAAATGTTTTGAACTAAAATGTGAACTAAAATGAAAAATGGAAATCCTTTTGGACCGTGAGAGTCCCAACCATCGACTTCTTTAGCTTTTCATCTCATTTAAAACAAAGCACTTTAGCTACGATTCATCTTAACTTCTAAAACAATGTCAAGCAAAGTATTTGACTGCTAATAATTGATTATATTCATATGCTAAATAAATGGAAGCTCTAGCCCCGATCATGATTAATTGCAAATTCATTTTGAATACGTTGAGCATCAATCACGACATTCCAAATACGCCCCTCAACTACACCCAGTCGCTCATTAAAATTAACCGCTCATAATGATTATCTTTAAAAACTAAACGCCCGCATTGTCGCGTCAAATGTATCTGCATTCAAACGAAAAATCTTTTTTTTACTGACTGACTGGCTCATCATATTCACCCATAGTCAAGCCCCAAAGCTTTATTTGTCAAGTGCGCAATTATTTATAGTTATATTTTTTATATATTTTTTTTTTGCCAAACAGCTGGAGACGCCAACGCGGCAGCTGGGAGTTGCTAGTTGCCAGTTGCTTTTTCTTGTTGTTGTTGCTGCTGCGGTGCATAATAATACCAATTGCTGGCGTTTGACGTTCGTCGCAGCAGCACCACCAGCAGCAATTAACAATTTTTAACCTTGTTGTGCATGATGCATGTGGCTGTGAGAGCACTCCGATCATCCGATGATGATGATGATCATTACTTTGAGATGAGATACTGACGATGCTGATGCACTCGAACGTGTGCATAAAAAGCTGTTAAATGTTTTTAGATTTTCGTAACGCGTCGAGTGCTCTTCGATTTTGCAATTAAATCGATTTCAATTTCGTGGCATTACTAGCAGTTGCAAATACGAGAGACATCATCGACCCCATTTGCATAATCGATTGGTGATTGGCAACGGCTGTCGTTAGATATTATTAATTATGAAAGTTTTATTCGACTTTCAGTGATCTCCGGGCATAGACAATCTTAATTTATAGATCGTTGCTGCAATACGATATTCTCGTTAGTATTTAGCTTGGTTTTTTGAAAGAAAAAACTGTGATGATTTCGACTGCTAATGAAGTGTGCATTTCGCAAGTGCTTAGTTTCCATGCCGTTTTATGGCGTTCAGCACTCAGGTCATTTAATTTCTCATTTAAAATTAACACAAATTCCCAAAGAGCTTTCCGGAATACCTCACATAACATTTACCCTGTTACCCACAACAGCAATAACAACTTCACTCACAGCAGCAACATCAGCTGCAGCAGTAGCCTCAGCAACATCACAATTGCAATCAGAGTAGCGTGACTTTGTTGTTTGATTGTTGCTGCGGCAAAAGTGAAGGTTGAAAAAGCTGGAAAGGCGACAATTAATGCTCTAATAAAGCCAAAGAAAGATGCAACACGAGCAGCAGCAGCAAAGGCAGCCGCAGCAACATGCGACAGCAGCAATTTCTGTTGCAAGTGCAACATCTGCAACAGTCGCCGCGCGAGTTTCCGTTAATAATGTTGTCAAAGCGTTCCGATGCGTTGATAAGCGCTTTCGTTTTGACGCTCTATTATGTGGGCGTGACCGCTGGGAATAACGCATCTGACTTTGTGACAATGGGCGATCTGCGGAGCAGAAGTAGGCGTGGTCAGCTGAATACTTCACGTCCCGGTGGCATGATAATGGAGGGCATTGGATTCCAGTACACCATGCGATATCAGCCGGGATTCCACTTAAACAAGTTGGCCCAGCAGCAGGGGGCGGATGGCGGAATGGGAGATCCACCTGTGACGGAGGCACCTATGCCCATGCCTACGCCTATGCCACCACCCGAAACACCTGCACCACCACCACCTGAACCAACACCACCAAAGCCAATGGATTCAGATCAAGATATACCCATGCGTCCAACAACAATGCCAATAGAGGTATCAAGAGAATATCCAAAGGTTCTACATGAGACTCCTTCAATAGTATGTACACTTTCAGGATATTCCAACACCACCAGCCGACGGATTCGATGATGATGATGCCCACACCAAGTAAAACGCCTGGTACCAAACCTAGTCCGAAACCCTCGATGAGACCTCCAGTTCCAATGCCACCATCCAGCACAAAGACGTCTATTATGCGGCCTCATCATAGCATTAAGAACATACTCTTCGGATCACCAATCCAGGCGAATCTCATCCTCAAGAAACCCAATGCACCACGTTCGAAGGGCAAGGGCTTTCTCAGCCTATTCGAGGTGATCAAGTTCCCCAATACCAAGTGCAGTGTGTCCATGGGCGACATCCGGAGCATGGAGGGCGTCTGTTACCATGAGTTTGAGTGCAAAAGCCTCGGGGGGATTCCTACCGAGAGCTGCGCCGAGGGCGTGGGCGTCTGTTGTGTGTGTGAGTGAAAGTCCAACGATCGATTTGAAAGATATCGAAAATCTAATATCTTTCACTTGCAGTCGTCAATGGATGTGGTGATGTCACCAGCCAGCAAATCCTCTACTTCGAGAGTCCCAACTATCCGAATGCAGTGCGGGAAATGATGATCTGCGTCCTAATCATCAATGTAAAGAAGGGAGTGCAGCAGCTGAGACTGGATTTCCAAATGTTCGAGGTGGGAGTCGTAATCTTATATGCAAAGTCTTTAATTGATTTTCCATGATCCTCAGCTAAGTCGTCCCAGCAATGGCGATTGCCTCGATGATCAGTTTATAGTCTCGGGACATAATACTAACTTTCAGATACCCATTCTGTGTGGCATTAACACAGGACAGCATAGTGAGCACTTTAAACTGACTTAATTTTAGTGCTGGTTAATTTCATTCATTCTATGTTCCAGTTTATATCCATGTTGGTGATTCAAATGAGGGCAAAGTCTATCTTTCGGTTTTTATGAAAGTCTCGGGAGGAGGACGTTCCTTTAATATAAAAGTCACTCAGGTGGAGGACAACTTGGCTCCCAATAATTGCTTGCAATATTTCTCTGAGGCTGAAGGTCTTATAAAATCATTCAACTATGATACAGATGGTTCGATAGTGGACAACAGAGAGGCTACCTATTTTGTAGGCTTTGATTATTTATAAATTAACTAATGTTAATGGATTTTTCTTAATCTAGAACAATCTGAACTATGCCATATGCCTGGAACGCTTGAAGAATGTATGCAGTGTGTCTTATAATACCGAACAGCTAGGCGGAGATCAGCCTGACTTTCAAATTGTCAATAAAGATGAAGGTAATTCGCTTAAAAATTAAACTTTTATATATTTTAAAACTATTATTAACTTATTTTAACTATTCAAAAGCCGAAAACGATTTAATTTCCGACGGCCAGGCTGGCGCTGGCATCTTCAACTGTCCGGATGACTTTATAGCCATCAACTCAGTACCTCTTTGTGGAGAAAGATTCAATGATGGCCGGGAAAGCGACGATTTCACCATGCACGCCACCGTGAGGGACACCGCCGCCGGTCCCATCATCCTGCCCTTCCGCACCGATGCCGAATATGTGGGTCGCGGCTTTCGCCTGCTCTACAGACAGGAACTCTGTGCCTGAGATCCCTTGGAAATGTGCATGTCGATCACTAGTTCAAAAGATGCATATGTTTCGCAGACTTTGGATTTGGCTTCATCATACCGTTGTTTGGCTTAAAGACAGTCGGAGAAAATATCTCATAAAAATAGGAAGAAGTCTATTTATTTACCTTTCCCTCTATAGTTTTCCGTTCCTATGAGAATAAAGTGTCCTGTAGTCTAAAATTTGTATTAGTTCCCCACCAGATGAGCTTTAATAAGTAATATAACCATAATTTAAAATCATTTCTCTCCGTGCACATATGGAATTTATCACGCTTTGGTCAACTGGAGGGCATTTGTGTTGGCAACTTTGGAAATTGAGATTGTGCGGTGCCTTTATGGGAACGACAGTTTCCGTTCCCAGTGCTGCCCCCGTGTTAATGTGTTTTATGTGATTCAAAGCGTTTTGGTGGCTTAGTTTTGGCGCCGCCCACCCACCGCGACTGGGCGGTCCGCGGGTTCGTAGTTCACACACCATCTAGCATCTAACATCTAGTCACTAATATCTAGCTTCCACGAGAGGGTCTCGATATAGCCGATTGTCGAGTCGATTGGCGTTGGTGTTCGTTGACAGGTTTATTTCAAATTTTCACGTCTCGCCAGGGCCAAAAAAAAAAAAACAGAGATACGAAACTATGACGAAATCTATAACTCGCCGCATCGCCATCGTCGCCGTCTCCGTTCGTCGCTCGATTTGCGGTCTCTATGCTTAAATTTGTAATAAATTTGATTTTTTCCTTTCGATTGCGATTTTCCCTTGGCTGGGATTCGTTTGCCAAGCTGCCGCATGATAAAGTCACAATTAACCCACGCCTTTTTCGTAGCGGTACTCTTACATATATTTGCATATCATTTTGATTGTTTGGATTCGGGCTGAACTCTCGATGCCGTCGCTCAACTAACATGGGGTGATGACTAAAAAGTGTTCAGTCCCCAGCACCAGCACTAGCGCTAGCACCGCCATCAACGGCTACAACAACCACAACTAGACCAAAGCAATCATGAAAACGACAACAAAAATTACTTCTCGACCAACAATAGAAAAAAAGGTAAAAAATACTATAGGAAGACGACAAAAAATGGCATATTGCATGCACAAGTTTTGAAGTTTGTCATCAAATGACGTTTTGGGATACCTTTGGACAACTTTATGTGGCACTGTGGGGAAGGATAATAGAGAATTTGAGTCAGTCCCGAACATATCTTCAGGGAAAAGCGAAACAAGATCAGGTATTTCTTTTCATATTATCAAACCTTTAATAGGTATTTACATTTTCCATAAAACAACTTACCCATACGCTTTCTTCCTAACATTTATAAACCTAACTAATCAAAGTTAACCCACTTAATCATTCAAACCCACTGTGCCTTTGGAGCCCAGCAACGCTGGCATAAATAAATAAAACCGTAAAGTCAAGAAAAAAATGGTATAAAATAAAAATCCCTTCAGGGCGTAACGTGCACTACATTAGAAATTGAAAATCCACCGACGCCGCCGACAACAACAGCAAAGCCAATGACTATGACTATGACGATGTGGATGTGGATGTGGATGTGGATGACGATGACTATGAGACGAGGACGTCGACAACCAAGACGACATCGAAGTCAAAGACAACATGAGAATCTTTTTTGCCATGGCAAAACGAACGGAAAAAAAGACCAAAAAGCGCCGTTTGATGGAAATTAGGAAACTGAAATTCATTTTTTGAGGTTTGGTTTGCTTTTTGGCCGGGTCTTGTCTTTATTTTTTAGGGGGTGTGGGAACCACAGGGAAATGCAAGCAGGCAAGCGTGCATGGCAACGCCTTTTGTCACAGTTGCAATTTTTGTGTGTTATTTTCCCCCTTTTGTTTTTAACAGACCGCCAGAATTTGCATAATTTAATCAATTCGGAATGAGACAAAAGGTGAAAACTTTTCAGCGTTTGCCAAACATCATGGCCCAAAGAGACAGTCAGAGATCTCCAGGAATCAGTGTTTTAATTGCCCACACCTCCTCCTGAACGAGAGGCAAGAGACGACTCCACGACCTACCAGGCCAAGAGTCCACTCCAATCCATTCAAGGCATTCAGTTAGCATGCCAGAGATCGCAATCACATTCGAAATCGCCATCGCCATCGCGGAACAGATCAATGCGGAGAGCGGGACACCGCGAAGATTGGTAGATTGAACCGACAAAATATTGGCAAAAATGCCAATAAATTTTTGACAAGACATTATACAAATGCTAACTTTATTAAATGGCTCTTGGTCAGACCACCGCTTGGGTTTTTTAATTGCGAAGCCAAAAGAGGGGGAAAATGCAATCGGCATGCGCCATCCAACCAAACTTGAATAAAGCGATCAACTGGAGTCCAACTCTTTCTTATCGCTGGGAGTCTATCTAATGAGCCAAGTATTTCCTCTCCTTTTCCACCAATTAATTTATTAACCCAACAGACAGTTGATCATTTGACCAGTTGAGCTTGGCTTTAACGATCGTGTAAACGGCATGAGGTCCTGTTTTGGAGTTCAAAAGGAGTCGTGGCTTTAAATGTCTGTAGTTGTCTTTGGGGTCATAAAATGTTGCCAAAGCCTGTCGAAACTTAAAGTAATTAGTCATTGTGGATTTAATGGCATGTCCATCTGACAATCTGGATTCCTTGACTTTCAGATTGCCACTCACTCAGTTCGATTTTTCATTTTTGCTAAGAGTCTTGATCAAATGTTGAGAATAATCAATCAATCGATGGTTAAATCCGATGTTTAAAGATGAGCTTATTGAGATGTTTTAGATTGAGTTTTTAAGGGAATATAATATATAATCTAATTTATATAAGTTTTTAGTTAAAGATCAAATCATTATCTCTTAACCCTCCTTGACAAGCAGTTAACCTCTCCTTTTAATGTAGAACTTCAAAATTGAAATAAACTTAGTAGATTTAATGCCACCGCCCAACTTGGATGACCTAACCCACTGCCCAAGACCAATTCCAATTTGAAGTTCAGCAGAAAACCCATTCCTACATAGACTACAAACACTTGACCTCTGACCCATAGGTTGAAGACAAAGCGACAATCATCTTGGGCGAGATTCGTAATGGGCACCCACTCAGTCCTATGGTTTCTAGGCTCCAGGCTTTGAAGACTCGCCCAAGAGCCGAAGCTTTTGAAACCATAAGAAGGTAGTAACCGAAGTGACACCAACACATCAAGTGAACATTTTATGATTCACGCTTGCATTAAAATCTCATCTTGAAGCGCGGCAAACAAATCGCACAAAAACTCTATGGAACGTACGAGCCACCCAAAAAAGGAGGGGGAAGGGTTTTTAGTTTTAGTTTTTTTGTTTCTATTTCTGGGGCAGGGGGCCAAAGAGGTTTAAACAACGGACTCGGTGCGCAACTTCACGCCGTAATTAAACTGTCTTCGGTTGTGTAGTACAAGCGTTCAAGCATTCAGCCGTCCAAAATCCATCCCATTGCCATTTAAAGTTTCTTTTACTTAACAGATTCCACACACACAGCACACACACCATACACACGTCGTTTTTCACACTATTTTCTACTAATTTAACGATTTTGTTCGACTCAACAACGAATCGGTCCAAGTCTTTGGGATTTTCTCCACTCCGACGTACGATTTTATTGCCGCACTTTTAGCACATCCCGCCTCTACATTCATTTACATGTGCAAAAACGCTAAGTGTTTGCTGCCGGTCTCAGCTTACAAGGGAAATTGGCCCAAGAGAGTTTCATTTTACATAATGTTAACTGAGTTATTGTTTTTTTTTTAAGAAATTGAAAGTGTACTTGGGTCATAAACATTTTGGGGGATTAAGTTAGAATGTAATGGGAGTGTTAGAGAAAATGAATTATGTGAAGCTTAAAATTAAAATGATTTTTTTAACTGGCATTTAAATTTTAAAATGACTCTTAAACTAAATTACCAATTATGGTATCCGTGAAATACCCTCTTGGCAAGTTTTTTAAGAAATCCTTTTTAGGAGACCAAACCTTGTTTTTTATAATATAGAATGACCATGCCCGTGGATCCCATCTTACAACTTTCCTGGCACATTTATCAAAATATCAACACCCAGCCGAAAAAGGAGCCTTCCCAAATTTGCGGCTACCCATTTTGGCGAATATGTTGCATGTAAAACATTCGACGGTAGATAACAAGAGGCTGCCAGAGTCCAGAAGATGGAAACTAAATGGATTTCCATTGGATTTTAGAGAGAGAAAGAAAGAGAGAAGTAGAATGTGCATAAATCGCGTGAAAAATGTGAAAGAAGAAACAACATTTTGACACCGAAAAATAAGAGGAAAACTCAGCGCGGCGCTGACTAGATGATGATTATGAGTATGAAAAATTAATGATAGTCACAGCATGGCAACAGTTGCACGCACACAAGAAAAATGAAATGGAAAAAAAAAATCATGAAAAAAGAGAATGAACGAGGGGGCAACGATGTAAATAGGCAGATTAAGCATACGCAACGTTGGCCACTTTGGCCAAGCCTTGTCAGCGTCAATTTTCCAAGGCTTATCCGTTAGTTACACACACACACATTCATAGAAATGGCAGACGGCAGGAAAATGCAACAGCTTTCCACTCTCGGCATTTTTAATTTTTATTACCATTTGCCTGATTTTTGCATTCAGTTATGGCTCTTACTTTGCATTGCCACATTCTCCCCACAAATCTCTCTCCATTTCGCCATCTCTTAAAGCTGCGTGCATTTCTCAACGGCTCAGTAGCCGGGTCACACAGCTAAACTTTCTTTCTTCCCCGATTTACTAGCAAAAATTTGCTGTACACTTGAAAGTATCCTGAAGTTCATTTAATATATATTATGATATTTATATATCAATTAGATATAAGAATTATATTCCTTATTGCCAAATATTGTAAGAAAACAATTGTAAGTTTTAAAGTATAAAATAACTTTTCTTAGCATTTTCTAGCATTAAAAATATATTGATTAAGCGATTTTGATGTCTAGTATCTACCAATTTTTGATTCTAAGTACGAGTTACTAATTTTCCTCTCTGTATCTCTGACTCTCAGCCTAATCGCCTCATCTTCCGCCATTCGCCGGCCATCCAAGATCCGAGTGTCACACTCACAGACTCCATCTCGGAGGCTCTGTCTCCATCTCCATCGCCGTCTCAATTCGCTGGGGAGATGCGTGTGCCGTTTTTCACCTGGCATTTCTCACAGCAACGGCGCTGCGATTAACGCCGAGCAAGTTGCGTTTAATTGCCGCACTTTTATTTAATTCTTATACGGATTTACTCTGTCCGCACGACGCTCCAGCAAAAGGTTCAATTTTCCGCTTGTTGCCTTGCACTTAGTTGCAATTGCATTCTGCAGATTATGCAACGTCGCTGCTTAAAGGCCACTAATTAAGAATTG